GAGATGTTCCCCACAAGTCTAAAGCATTTTGGTACTTGGTTCCATTTGGAAAGGATAGGTGTGACCTTGCTAGAGGAAGTATGTCACTGGGGGTAGGCTTTGAGGGTTATCTCTCTCTGCTTCCTGCTTGAGGCTTGAGATATGAGATGTCAGCTACCTCTGCCGTCATGGACTCTGTCCTCCATGAATGGTAAACCCCAAATAAACTTTTCCTTTAAGTTGCCTTTTTCGAGGTTTTTTTTTTTTTGTTTTTTTATCACAATAGAAATGTATCCAACACAGGTAGTCCCTAGACCATGTAAAGTAAGAAGGAAACACTAGTTATTCTTTGGTCAAAATTTGAACTGAATCGGTGTCCCGGGGTTGGGGCTCAGGAATGTTTAGTGCTTAGAGCCATCCGGCTGACTCCTGCAGACACAGGAGAGGGGTGTGTGTGGCCCTCAGGGTTGCTGCTCCTGCAGCTAGAGAAACGTGAGAGGAAATGCTAACCCGCTCTCAGCTGGTGCCCAAGAGACTTTTCTCCAAGGCTTCCATAAGCCAAGGGCCCTAAGACTGGGTGTCCTAAGGGGAAATGTAGGCGACAGTCCTCACAGTGGCTGTCAGAAACCAGTACCTTTGACCTTTCTAAAACACGAACCCCAGGTACAGACAGTGCCCAGAGGAGAGCAAGACAAAGGACGGTTTGCAATGACCGGGCCTGTGGGTTGCCAGGACATTCAATCTGATGCTAAGCTCAGAGGGTCATCGAGGGAGGACAGAGAACCTACTCACACTAAGACTATCAGCCGAGTCGGGTGGCATTGCCCACCTTTACAACATACAGGCATGCAGCCCATAGGAAGCCATCTGTCCAAGGCATGTTCTGGGAAACCCAAGGAAAATGAGAACCAGGCCAGCCAGGGCAGTCCCTACGCGTGAGAAACTCCACATAAAATAACAAAGGGATAGGTTGCCAAACAAGTACTGTGAATTCTCTTTATTGAACAAAAATAAAAAGTTTCCACCCAAACTGCTACTAGTAGGTTCTGGTACAAACACACTGTCCAGAGAAGGGGAATGGAGGTGAGCGGCACACACGCTGTAAAGCACAGAAAGAAGCAAGCTCGGAAGACACAGCTCCCCTAGGAACAGAAGCAAGGCCCATAGTGAGCGGGTTTCCTGAGCACCCGGTATGATAAAACAGAAGACAGTGCTGGGCACTGCTGCCCTGAACTGCAGGGTGAGGGCGAGGTCGCATCCTCCAAGCCTCCTAGCCAACCTCTGGCTGTAGGAGCCCCTTCTTGCCACTTCACTATCAGAGGGACAGGACACTGTAGGAGCCCTTCTTGCCACTTCACTATCAGAGGGACAGGACACTCACCTCCGGGCCAGCTCCCGGGTGTTAAGGGTTCTCTCAGCTGCTCAGGTTGCCGTTGCTGTCAGTCTCCCTCAGCACGGTGTGGACAGCAATGCTCACCAGCAAGCCACTGACGGCTCCAACAGCAATCCCTATGCCCAAGGCTGACGCCACCTTCCTTTGCCACTTTGGGAGGTGAGGCTTGGAATGGTTGTCTAGATTAATTTCCCAGCCCTCATCTACCAACTTCTGGTCCTCGGTGAGGGACTGGTAGAAATTCAGGTTTACCAAATTTGGAGGAAGGACCCTCAGTCCAAAGTAGAGCCTCTTGACAAACCTCAGGTTTTTCAGCTGCTGCACGTCGCACCTGTAAGTCCCAGAGTCAGACTCGTAGGCCGGCTTGAATCGCACAAAGTGGGAGTTGGCTCGGAAGGGTTTGAAGAGCTCGTCATTGGTGGAGATGATGCCTCGAGCAAGCTTCCAGGTGAAGCGGAAAGCTTCATGCCCCACCTCTAGGATGTCTGAGCTGAGGCAGCTCAGCTCCATCTCTTGCCCGTGCACGATGGTGAAGTGCAGCATCCCACAGATCCAGTTGGTCAGGCACTCCAAGCGCTGGGACCTGCACTTCCTCCTCACTCCATCAGGACCCACCTCACAGACGGTTTCTTCCCTGTAGCCGAGGCCGCACGTAACACTGCACGTTGTGGCATTGACGACGACGCTCCCCACAGCTTGTTGTAGCTTCTTGGGGATGGCCAGCGTTTTAGGTGTCGCCAGCACTAAGGGCAGGTGGGTTACCAAGGCCAGGCTCCCAAGGGCAAACCCAGTCTTCATGTCTCAGTAGGCACTCTACCACAGGCACTCCAGGCGAGCGCGCGCTCTATTGCTCTCTAACACAGAGCCTCCAGCTTGGAATACCCTTGGCACGGAGAGACTATGATGCACAGCTGTCAGCGAAAAGGCACGTGCGCTCATGGGCACAGAATGCAGTCCTTATTCTTAGGTGAGGGCACAGGCAGAAGAAAATTAACACTACTGATGTCTGACTAAGTTTGCCAGGGCCATCTTCACGGGTGCCACTCTTGTCGCATCCTCCTAGTGAATTGAAAGCCACAGGCTTCAGGACAAAAGAAGGGAGAGTCCTGGCAGTAATGAGTCAACTGTCTCCCTGCCTTCCAACTGTGCAAGAGTTCCCAAGTCCCACGCTACATCTGACCAAATAGAAAAACCAAACAGAATTAAGGAAGGGGTGAGGCAGGGCTGGGTTGCAATGGTAATTTGAATACCTTTCCTGTGAATGTTCCTAAACCACATAACTCTGGCTGGGCCTTGGTGGCGCACGCCTTTAATCCCAGCACTCAGGAGGCAGAGGCAGGCGGATCTCTGTGAGTTCGAGGCCAGCCTGGTCTACGGAGCGAGTTCTAGGACAGCCAGAGCAGTCTCGAAACACCAAAAGGATGACTGTGGAGTGGAGTCACTAGACTCCCATTTCTGTTCTTCTCCCTTTGCAAACTGAGGTCTCCCTGTCTAGGTTCGGGAAGGCCACTTTGAACACTGCACCTGAAAACACACTCCCCAGTGTCACCACATTCATTTGTAAAGACTTCTAAAGAGACGGAAAGCAAGGTGTGGTGACAACCCCTGGAAGCAGAGGCAGGACTGCTGGGAAATTCAAGGCCAGCCTGGGCTACATGATGAGACCTGCCTCAAAAGAAAAGGAAACGCTCAGTGGAACGAGTGAGTGCTGGCAGAGCGCTCGCCTCGCACACATGATGCTCTAGGTGGATCCCCAGTGCCACACAAACAGGGTGTGGCAACATATCCCCTCTCCCAGCACTCTAGAAGGTCAGAAGTTCCGGGGCATTTTTAGCTACACAGGAATTAGACACACTAAAGATACTAAAGGAAGTGCATGTGTGTGTGCGTGCGTGCGTGCGTGCGTGCATGTGTGTGTGTGTGTGCGTGTGTGTGAAAATTTAGTCCAACACACCCTTCCTGGGAAGCAAGTCAGGCTAAAGCAGAGGCAGCTCCTGTCTCGTTCCAGGTACTCTCTTTTCCAAGGAACCAGGACGTTGCTAGGAGCGAGGATGACCGAGGCTGTCTGACACTAGTCTGCTCTATTTGCCCAGCAGAACAGAGGAGCTCTTTGTTTACATCAACCAAGGTTGCTATGAAACAGCTATGATGATAAAGGGGGGTTCTTAGTGACAAGACAGAAGACCTACTGTAAACAGACCTGTTTGGTATTCATTAGAACGGTTCCACAGTAGCAGCGGTCCTGGTCAGATGACCCTTTCATCAGGTCACATACTGAATATCAGATGTTTACATTATGATCCATAGCAGTAGGGAAATCACAGTTAGGAAGTAGCAATGAAAATAACTTTATGGTTGGGGGCCACCACACCATGAGGAACTGTATTAAAGGGTGAGACAATGAATACTCAGTATGGATGTTAAAGTTATTAATCAGAGAAAACGACAAAGATCCTTGGAAGACTGGAACTTCTAGGAAGCATTACTGTAACCTCCTACGGTGCCTGGCACTGCAGCCTCTTCAAAGTTTATACCGAGTTAAAGAATATGGAGATTCCTAGATGATCCCAGCACCCCCCCCCTTTTTTTTAATTAACGCCAACTTTTAGCTCAAGTCATTTATTTCTAGTTTGTACAAAGGAAGAAATCCAAGCTACCTAACCTTTCCAGATCCGAATGAGCAGAGAAAGATCTAAACTCCACACTTAACTTCTATTGTACAAAAACCAAGTGGCTGCTGAGCTCCCGAAGCAGACAGTTTACAAACACACACCTATACTTGTGGTTTAATAAACATCCCATTTTATTTACAGAGCATTAAAGCTTTAGCAAGAAGTACCCAAGGCTAAGTCTCATCTTGTACAAAACTACTGAACATTTTAAGAAACGAATGGAGAGGCAGGGGAGACCACGAAAAGAAGGGGGAGAATATACATATATTACACAAATCAAAAACCCTAGCTGAAAGTGGATGGAAAACAGTTTTAGAAGCTGATGAAAAACTCCAAAGGCATAAATAATTATTAGGAGCTGCTGCCAGAAACAGTCTGGCAGGGCCTGAGCAGATCTCCTCAGTAGCCAGTTAATGGAAATGGACACAGTCTTAGCATCCAGATGGAGGAAATCAAGACTCTCCTCGTGGGAAAGGCAGGACCCCCGTATCGGTTTGCACACCAATGTTGGGTACTGTACAGAGAGACACGACACAGACATAGTATCTACAAATAAAAACATGTCCCGTGAGCCACTTACCAACCGCAGCTGAGGAAGCAGCATCAGCAATGACTCTGGAGACCTCCTGCAGTGTCCACTGTCACTTCTACCCCACAATGTAAAGCAATCAATGGGTTTGGCTATCTGAAGGAGCCTCCGCCAACTGATAGAGATTTCACAATTAGCATAGAATTTAAACCTCTTTTCAATGCAGAGAGAGTAAAACCCCGGGGCAAGGCAAAAGCTATTGCCAGAGAGAGACATTACTAACTCTTTCCATACTTGGCTTCCAGACTTTGGATTTTCAGAAAATTTCAAACACTTATTGTACACATCCGTCCAATTTGCTATAATAGCAAATGCAGAGAAAGCCAGGGTGAGAAGAAGGGTAAAAAAGCTAAGCAACCTTTCACAGAAAGGAAGTGAGCGAAAACACAGGGGGCCTGGCTCCAGGAAGAGACACACTGTGGCTGGTGGGAACGAGTTCTCCACAGGCAATGATTTAACAAAGGAACCTGATCTTTGATTTGAAGCAAGCTGCTGCTGCTGCTTTGACTTGGGGTTTCACGTCAGTCAGTCCTCACACAGCTGCCCTAACCCCATGATACAGAAGCTTGTGGAGAAATACACCTTGCTTTGTTTCTAACGCTGCAAGTCAACACAGGCAAAGTAATACACAAACTGTTGATGATTCTTAGCTGGAGATGGATAAAACTAATCATACCCAAAAACCATGATTATTCAAACAGACCTGACATGGGAAAACATGCAATGCAAGGGAAATCCCAGATTCTCTTGAGCCCAGCCAGCCCATTGAGCAAAAGGTGGTAAGACAGAATGACAGGCCCCTTCTATCTTCCTTCCTTTTCTGACAATTTGAAATCTTTCAAGCACTTGCTTCTCTGTCCAACCTTTATACACAATACAGAAACACAGGAAGCAGCTGGGAGGGGAAGTTATGAATGAAAGAAACAGAAAATGCATTGGTTTTCCTAGGATACTGGTAGCAAAATTTCAGGGGAAAAAAAAAAAAAAAGTCACTCAAGGACATGCACTGAGGATGGAAGGCAACAGGAGATGGGAAATACATGTCCAAAGGATGTGACTTCAACAGTTAGGTGAACAAAACCCGGGCATTTTTCACCAGCAACACAACCAAGTGTGAAGTTGAAGCGAGTCAGATCTCCTGACGTCTTCACGCATCCTCATTCCTGAGAGCCTATTTGGACGTATGCTTGAAAGGGAAGGCAGGGACCTGTGCTCTTCTTCCATAATTGACTTCTTCCTTCAAACATAAAATCCACTCTTTCCACCTCCTGGGTGGGAGGTAGAGGCCTTTGTTTTCAATTAAAGCCAGTCTCAAATGACTGGCCACACTGTCCAAAGGCTACCTGGCGACAAAGAGTTCCTCCGTCTTCATAGCAGTTCTGAGATTGCTCCTCCTGCTAAAGAGATGAGACACAAAAGTTCCCTTTAGGATCACGGGCACACATGGACCAAGAATGTCCCCTTTGAAGAAAATGACAGAACCCAGCTTCCCATCTAAACCCAAATCCCCACCCAATCCTGTTCAGCACTGTCCCAATGTGTGTGCAGGGAGTGGAAATGGGTGAGCCTCTACCCAACTGCTAGGCTGATAACCAGGTTCTCAGGTGATCATGACAGACAAAATTAATTCCAGGGTACCAACCCTTTCAATTTTTCGTATCTTAGACTAATCAGTAAGATTAACAGTGAACAACACTTCCCTGTCCAAGCCCCACTGTTCCTCAAGTGACATTTTCATCGGCGTGGAACCCCAGATACCGTGTACCGTTGATGAAAGTGAAAGCTACCATCTGCGCTTCTGTGCACCAAGAACCGGTCGGTAAGTGAATAAAACCTAAATAGTAAGATCAAATAAGCACTTCCCTGATGACTCCATAGAAGCCGTTCAACTTCAGAAGGACATCTTTAAATAGGCTTCTGTGAAATTTTAACTAGGAAGCATAAAAAGAGAACAAGGTGAAGAAAGGCCTCCTGGATGGAATTTAAATGAGGGATTACACGACGGCTGGAGTTGTGAAATGGTGGAAATTCATTGTGTAAGTAAAGAAAGAAAAGCATTCACTCACAAAGTTGCTCTGAGTGTTATTTTTAAAATGAAGTTCTAATAAAAATGAAAACATACATTTGCTGAGAAAAGACTGAACCAAGGACAAGGTACATACACGCTCTCTACTGAATGCTATATTTTTAAAAGTAAAACTGTGATTTCAAAAGAGATGTTTGTATTTGGCAAACTTATTTTTCAAGTCTCCTTCAATAGGAAACATAAGGAATCCCCTGAGTTGAGTTAAAATGTAAGATAACAGAATAGTCTACTAGACTCAGTTCACTTACTTCTTTCAGGTTTGTCTCACTGACTGTTCCCATAGGTACCCTGACCAACTGCGTTTTCAGTTTACAAATTAGCACAGCCCCACCATTTTATTTTAACCACTAATCACGATGGAAAAAGTGGTCTGATCACAAGTTGACACCTTTAATAATAGGCACCCAAGACAATGAATGAACACCCTCCACTGTACAAAACAGTTGACATTTCTACACCACCCCCATTCTTAGGAAAGAGGTGCGTGCATATTTACACATACAGGCTTACTGAGGCATTAGACAACAACCTAAGATACAAGCAATACTATTAGCAAAGTAATATACGAGAAAAAAGCTCTACAAAGGCCTGTGCAGCATTTGGTCCATGGGAACAATATTTGGTTGCATCATTCAGGAAATCTCCAGCAGTATAATATTAAGAAAAATTTAGTCTAAGATGAACAACTATTTTTGGTCTCTCCCAGTAGGAGCCTAATTCAGGATGGCCAAAGAGAACATCCCGACATAATATCCAGCTAGGCATCCATAAATTAGCCTTTGAGTGACAATGTATTTCTAAAACAGAGAGGGAGGAGGAGGTGGAGCACAAATGTGATCTCACTCCTGGGCATTTAAAACCAAGGTTGGTAAGTGACTAGAAGGGCGGGGCTTCAGAAGGCAATGAAGTAGCTGCAGAGCCATGCAAGGTAGGGCAATCTGCATGGTGTCCTTCAACAGACCCAGGTGTACATCAAGTCACTGGTGTCTACCACAGGGGGAGGGGAGGTTATATGTGTGACAAACCAGTCCTTTGTGGCCTTTGCCGACGTGGTTTGCTGCTGAGGAACCCTAGGTCTTGGGTAACAAGGAAAACAACACAGCTTGTGCTCTCACCACAAGCTCAGAAATATAGAGCTAAGATAAGAGAAACAGAGATGTTAGGCAGATGGTACCAGCAGGCCTGTCCCTGGAGAGTCCTCAACTCAGGGCTAGCCTTACCAGGCTCTCTCTACGCAGAATCTAATGCTATTCAACACTAATGAGCTGTGTGACATCAAAGAATTTTCAGTAGCCCCAGATTCCAGATTAACAGTGTTCTATTTGCCTTCCCATTTCCCCTGAAATCTGCAATCTCCTGTTGTAACATACAACAGATACTGGCAAATATTTGGTAGAACGATTAAGGTTTACAGAATGGATTCTTCACTAATTGGCCAGTTGCACATATTAATAAACAGCTGACTTTTATTCAGCTTGTGCATAACACAACTTACCCCTACAATTCTGCCTTCAAAAACTTGGCACTAATGCAAAAGTTGTTCAGTTAAAGGGAGTCCACAGAAATGAACCTTGAACTCAAACCTCAGAGCAGACTGGTTTGTTTCTGCAGTGCAGAGAGTAGAACCAGGTCCTTGCACATGCTAGGCAAATTCTAACACTGACCTACATCCCCAAACCATGGGCTAATTTTCAAAGAACTCTCTGCTGTAAGCATCCTGGATGAGTTTTACTTAATATCTGGTAGAAAACTATATACTATCTTTTATTGAAAAATCTCTGAGGTATCAAACAACATGAGTTATTCGTGAAAATACCAGTTTTCTTGAGGCCTCTCGAGGGCCACACGGAAATCAACAGCAGGTCCAGTTTTGGTTTGCTCAGGACCCTCCAAAAACTAGAGAGTCACTGAATGAAGGAAGCCCTTACCTCAACCAAAGAACCCCACACAGAAAATGTGACAGTTTACCCAGGCAGTGACGTTTCTGGGATTATCTGGGACATCCCATGCCACCACTCACAAATTTGCAGCCTCACAAAGCTCCAAGCTCTACTGACCTGTCAGTACAGCCACAGGCAACCATCAAGATCCCTGCTCAAGTTTTGCTAATGATCCCGTTCTCCTTAGCACTGAGGTATTATTTAATCTGTTCTGGAGATTTCCATCCAGGAAAAGATGAATGAACAAAGGCCAGAGAAGAAAGGAGAAGGCAGGAGGGAGGACACATAGTTGCATGGGAGGCGCATGCAATCCCGAGGAGCCGCAGGGCGGAGCTGCTCAGCCTCTTAGACAATGTACCCTTCCTCTCACCCTTCCAGGGACAAGTTCTCTAGTCCCCCTTCAGGACCAGGTTTTAAAATAGTTGCCTCCCTTTAAGGCTGGCCCCCTTCAGCGCTCAACAATAGTAATCAGAAAACAAAGCCAGCATGAAGAACCTGGCTACTAAAGACACAGTTCCCCTGCCTCAGCACTTCCTTCAACCCCGAGGCTAAACAAAGTGACAATGGGTCATCTTCAAAGACCCCAGACAGAGGCACCTACTCTTACTAGAACAGGTTGAAATGCTAGCCTGCATAAATAACCTGTATGCATTTCACATACAGTTCAAAAATTCGCTACAAATTCGTTTTGCCACTAAGAAAATAATACTCATGAGTTTTGCCACTCATGAAATAATACTCATGAAGTTCATTCTCCAGGACTGAGCAAACTTTCCAACATTTTCATCCTGGTTCTCATTTAGACATTAGTTACTGTGGCTAAACATATCGATTAAAATTGAAACTGTGAGTTTTTCTATTTTGAGAAAGAATTTTAAAATTCCGTAGCAGTGTATTTTCTATTTACTATATACACCCCCTACTGAAAAGCACAAGATTAATTTAAACTAATAGCACTGCGTTCTGTTTTTCTGGTGCCGCAGCTGAAGCAGAGGGCACTAGGCAAACACTGCTCTATCAAGCCATACACAGAGCTCCCAAGTCCTTATAGGACGGGTCTCAAGAATGTGGTGGGGACGGTGGGGGGGGGGGGGAGACACAGGCATGGCTGCACACACCTTTAATCCCAGAACTCCGGAGACAGAGGCAGGAAGATCTCTATGAGTTCCAGGTCAGCCTGATCTATGCAGAAGCCATGGAGACTATGTCTTCAGGTGTTTTAATTGACTTTATAGATCTGGCCACATTTTAAATCGTGCTAAAAGGAGCGGGACTTTTATGGCAGGAAAATCTACTCAAACTTCAAGTTGGGTTTCTTCTGAACTGACATCAGTGTACGCAGTGTAGGCACGCGAGCTACAGAAAGACCGTCTGTATTTGTTGGCAGTCCACTAACTGCTCACCTGTAGTCAATTGCTGACCTGTTGTCTTTCTCCTGGCTCTTTATCTACACACAGCTTAGGACTCAGTATGGAGGTGGGACTGCTTACCAAGTGCTATATGTAACCACTGCTTCAGGGGCTCCCCGACTCAGTGGTAGGGTGTCACAGCATGAAAAACTCAAGCCTCGATCTAGAAAACTTAGGGGACTAATGACTCTTGTCTGCTTTTCAGTTTCTCTATAGGAAATAATTCCTATTTATAGGCAACAATTAACTAGTATAAGGTACAAACTGAACAAGGAATCCTGCTTTGCATTCTACTATTTATTATATATGGATTAACATATTTAAATTAAATTTTAAAGTGGAGGGGAAAAAGCTAAATATAATCACTGACATTGCATCTATCAGGTGTCAATTAGCCACAAGAAACAAAGTATTATATTAACAAAAGCAGTGCATTCATGCTTGTGTGTGCGCGTGAGCAATGTAATAAATAGAAAGATGCAGGCTTTCAAATCCCAAGGGCATTTGAGTGGAGATAAGCACTAACTTGATCATTATTTTTCAAACAAACACCCCTTAACTAGCTCACAGGTATTTTCTAGGAACTTCCATTCCTTGATAAAACACCCTCAGTTATATATTATGTGTTGGGGGCTGAAGTGGCTCAGATGTTAAGGGCTAAGGCTCAAAACCAAAAGGACACTTGATGTTAGGAAGCCATACTGTGTCTTTTTTTGGAAATTTCCTCCTATTTTCAGATACTGGGGGAAACCTCAAAACCTGTTTTCTCTTCAACATATGGTACTGATAAAAACTTCTCTGGACTGTCAAGAAAGAATATCATTACTTGGAGCATCCGGATGACATGAAGATACTGAAATTTAATAGTCAGGTTTTCATTAAACCACCTTAGCTTACATATCTGGCTAGTTGTCTGAGGCAAAAATAAAAAACAAACTAAAGAACCATCCACAAATGAAAATTTTAAAACTAAACATCGGGCAGATACAGTCTAAGAAATGTATTAACTGGAGGTTCATATCATTTTGAATCGCGTATTTTCCTATAGAAATCTAATGGAAAGTAGAGGTTCCTCCCCAGAAAAACACTCACGTAATACTCTGTATGTATCTGTAGAACATAGAACCCTTGCAATCTATTTATGGAACCAAGGCTGACAGCCAATGAATTAAGCCAATTTTGGTTTAGCGTGCCCTTAGCAGCTTAAAACCCAAAGATCACTTGGTGCTGGGGAAAAGGAAGGGGAGGGGAGGGAAATCCCACTACAGTTAAAGGAAGTCAGGAGCTGTACAAAGCAAGGCCACAAAGCAAGCCAGACAGTGCTCCCAATGTGTCCTTACCTGCCAAGGGCTGGCTGAGCTCCGCCTGTACTCTACCCTTCGTTGGTCCTTCCAGAGGTAAACCTCTGTCCCCTTTGTAGAGTTTCGGTTTAAATGGAGAATCTTTCTCTTTACCTTTTGATCCTTTAGGCCGGCCTGCTTGCTTCTTCTTGGATTTGCCATCCCCCTTCACACCCAGTAGTGGATGGACTTCTGCAGGAGGAAAACCCATGAAAACCAGTCCGTACCACACCGGTCCCACATCCCAACCAGACCTTTGACTGCAAAGACCACTGCTTTTTATGGCCCACATCACTAATCTAAGAGAAAAAAGAATGCACTATTATTCTTAAAACTACAAAAGAATGGCTACTAAATTGACAACTACTTGCTAGACCAAAAGGCATACACAGTGTATATGGGTTATACCAAACCAGAGCAACTCCAAATTGAAAAACAATTAAAATACCCACTCATTCTAAGTCGATCAAACCTGAACAGGAGTGTGCGGGACATGAACACACAGCACAGGCATAAGGGATCAGAAAATAAATGAAAAGGCCTGGGCAAGAGTTCTGACTCCACCATGTTCTGTGAGAATTTAAACAAGTTAAAGCCTCAGCCCAACTCTTCCCCTTTGCAAAGCAAGAATAATAAAGTACTTGCAGGGTTGATGAAACTGTGACCTGTGGTATAGAAAACTATATCCTGCTACTTGAAATAGGGCATACAGTCAGAGTATACGGTGGTATAATTAATTGATCTACTGTTGGCTCTCAGAAAAAAGAATGGGCGATAGCTAGTGCCAACACTACCCCAACCCTAGCAAATCACTGCAACACATGGTAATAAAAGCTTCCAGCACAGCACCACTGTGAAAGTAGGAAGGAAGGAAAGACCGGTCAGGCCTGACTGGCACTTCACCAGGCAGTAAAACCACACTAGGGGAGAACCAAAATGCTGAACAGTTTAAGGAAACAAATTCTAAGCCATGTACCAGGAGACTAAGGATGTCATCTTAGGCAAGGTACTGGAGGGCAGAATGTCCCCATTTTAAAAGAAATAAACACAAATGCAGCCACCACAGAACTGGAAAGCAATACAGGAAAACCCTCACGGGAAAACGCCTTTAAAGTAAAAAGGACTCAAACAGGCGCCAGAGGGAGGGGGCAGCGCTCACCGTCATTCGGTACACCCTGCAGTTCTATGTTGGTTGTTTTAGGTTTCTTCTTTGGTGGCTGGGACCCATCTGCTGAAGACTGCCTCTTCTTCTCTGAACTAGCCCCTTCATCCATCAAGGAGTTTGGGACTGCATCCGGTGGGGGGCCATATGGATTTTCTTCAGGGTCTTCTACCTCAGGGGCAATGGGTAAATACAACAGAGCCTTTGAATCTTCCAGCTCTTCATCGCTATTCGGAACAGGGTCAAACAAGGGATTGGAAAAAAGAGATAGTTGCTTAAACCACAAGCCCGTCAGCCTTTCCTCTAGCGCCTACATTTAGCACACACAACAGTTACAGAGCTAGACTTTAAGAAAGCCAAGATGAAGGAGAGAAACTGGGTAAGAGGATAGTGAAATCATAACCATAAACAGACAAAGGTCATTACTGCAGCTTTTTTTTTTTTTTTTTTTTTTTTTTTTTGGTCCTGGAGCTAGGGTTTCTCTATGTAGTCCTGGCTGTCTTGGAACTCCATCTGTAGACCAGGCTAGCCTCGAATAATTCAAGGGATTCACCTGCCTCTGCCTCCCGAGTGCTGGGATTAAAGGTGAGGGCCATCACTTCGGCTTCTTAAAGTAGATATCACGTTTTGTTCAGCATGCATTGTCTGCTCGTCCCAGTACTGAGCAGTCAGAAGGGAAGGGGCGCTGGGGGAACTGGGCGGTGCACTGACACGGACTGTACTCAGCCTTCCAAGCCACTCACCTGCTACAGAAGGCAGCGATGGGATCCACGCTGGTGACATCCACTTCCTCGTCTTCAGCAGCATCCGCCCCTGTAGGGCAGATCATTGGAGAAGTTTGAAAAGAAATGGAAAACTGCTTTTTGCCTGAGAATAACCCAATTGTCCATTTTTCCCAATTACTTAACAACAGGGGCTAAGCTCCTAGGAGACACTGGTACTGAAAGTAGTGACAGCCAAGAGAGTTGGGAGCAGCGGCTCTTCAGTGAAACTCTCAGCCTACCCAGAAATAGACACACCGTTCCAACATAATACAGTAAAATAACATGCACTGTGCTTGACGACAAAGACTGGCTAGTTTACGTGGACAGCTGAAAAGGTTCACAAAACTATCTACAATACTTTGTATCCCTGAGGTATTCCTAAAACCCACAAGACACCTAAGTTACCTATAACCCAAAAGTGGAGCAGTTTTTAGCTGGAGAAATCTAACTTTAATCCTGATTCCTAGCACCAGGAAATGGTCCAGATGTCAAAGCTCTGGACATTAATTACAGTGCCAGGAGGCATAGTTCTCTCTCTCTCTCTCTCTCTCACACACACACACACACACACACACACACACACACACACACACACCCTTACTATGTGCAAAGTTCTGCACTAAAAACCATGAAGATAAGTCAAATCTTGAGATAGTGTGTATGCAAACATAAAATCTCAGCCTTGGGAAGATCAGTACAGAAAGTATCAGAATTTGTGCTACATAGTGAGACTCTTGTCTCCAAATAGCAACAAAAATGTCAGATCTTTATTTTCAAGGAGTTCCTATTCAGAAATTTGGAAGATGAGATTAAAAGAACAATGACTACGGTCATGATAACAAAAGACTCTGGGGTTCTTCTTACGAGCTAGGCAGACACTAAGTGTTTTATGAATTAGTCCACTTATCCTCTACAATGCAAACTCATGGGTGCTGCCATTACCCCACCTTAGACATGAAGGAGTCAAGCTTAAGTGTTCTGCCCAAAGCTGTCTGGTAGCAGAGCTCATGCTTTTGACCTTTCTGCAGCTGACAAAGACATAGCAGAAGACACGGCACAAACTAACTGAGCCTGGGCACATCTCTGCGCTTTGCTGGGCGCTGTATGCAAACCCTCCTTTAATCATCTGTGACTCATCAGGAAATATAGATGAAATGTCAAGAGCTGCTTGAGCATTGGTGCTGCATACGGGAACCCTTAACTAGAATATACTTAAGACTCCTCAAGCACTGTGAAAACTACATACGCTTAAGGAAAAAAGGCGACAGATACAGCACAAGCGAAACAACCTTTTCCCTTTCGGAAATACTACCTGCAATTGAGAGGCATTACCTGTTTGCTCAGGCTCACTCTTATCTTCATCTTCAATATCAAACTCTGATTCCCTTTCCTCATATTCCACATTTTCATCCAGTTCTTTGAAATCCGGTGCAAATGCACTCCAATTTTCCTATGACAGAACAGGTTAAGTCCCCACATAAAAAATCAGTAACGACATAAGTTCTGACAGCTTATGTTCAGCATGAAACAGACTAAGCACTCTAAGATAAAATTTGGGTATGTGTTTGCTCCCTTGATGCATTTCCTATATAAACATTTCAAGTTAGTAACTGAATTTCTTTCCTAAATAACTACATCCTTGAATTTTTTTAAAGTGTACTTCACAAAGGTAGTTTAAAAGTGTTCACCAACATAAAATAAACTGAGCTAAAAATATGAAAAGCAAATAAATGTTAAAAGGTTGCAGAAAGTGTATATGCATGAAAACACAAGTTGGAAACCAGCTCAGGACTAAGAATGTTCCTCTGAAATGAAAGTGAAACTAAATATAATGAACTTAATTAAGCTGCAAAACTAGATGCAAAACAAAGTAACTAAAGTAGTATTTAGCTTACTCTGTATAAAGAATTTTTGATAAAAAGAAGTATTTAGTTTCAAAGAAAATCAATCCGAAAAATACTTACTACTTGATTTTGGGCCCAAATAGACACCACTCCACTAGAAATAGAAGCTATGATGGGTCGAACTGGATGCCACTAAATCGCAATTTAAGACAAAGAATTGTTTGTCAGAACAGATTAAAGCCATTCTAGGGTGTGAACGCAAGCAAAGCAATATACCGCTCTACTCACAGCCACGTCCAGCAGGAGCTCCCCTCGGGTCCCATGCAAGATCTTCACCAGGTTGCCAATGCTCTTTTCCCAGATATACAGTGCATGCTGCCGGGCAGAGCCCGCCACTATGTATTCCCCATCCCCAGAGAAACAACATTTTTTCCATGGGGTCCTAAAAGATAAAGAACATCCCCAGGAGAAACTGGAACCGGAGCCCAGGGAAGGTCGGTCACACCCTCTCCTGGTAACAATACCTACCTATTCACCAAGTCCTGCAGTTTCTGCATTGGCTCAGGCTCTCCATCCCTTCCACACGTTAAAATTTCTCTGCCATCATAAACTCTGATTATTCGATCTGCTGTGTTAATTAGAAAGCAACTACAGAAAGGAGAGAGATTATCGCCAGTCAGACGCCTGTCCCCGTTAACAATTTCTACCACTACTAATTAGACAGCACCACACACCAACTAGTTGACTGGAGAGAAACTAAGAATGGCCAAGATTTGATGCTTTATCCTGTGTATCCCCAAACCTCTGGTTAGTATGGTCTAAACTTAACTGAGATGTAAGACCTTTGACACAAAGTCAGCCTGCTCAATTCACAAGTTCATAATGTATAATATTCAACAATTAAATATTGCATTTATCTAGCCTGTTTCAAACACCGTATGATTATTAATAAGTCAATAAGCTAAATGTGTATCCTTTAAATTATGTTTATTTATTTGAGGAGGGACGCACCCGCCACACAGAGCACACTTATGGAGGTCAGAAGACAACTTGGAAGGCAGTACCCTCCTTCTACCACATAGGTCCTGTGAATCCAGCTCCGATCATCAATCTGAGTGACTGGGCTGGGGCTCAATGGTAGAGTGTTCGCCTAGCATGCAAGAGACTCCAAGTTCAACCCACAGATATATACCAAGCACTTTGTAGGGGAATGTACTCCAGACACACGGATGCTCCTAAAAAGAAGGGAGTTAAGTGCTACTGCTGACTAACAAGCCATTTCCTCTCATTTCTGTCACTCCATCTACATCTCACAAACTTAGGGGATGTCTGGAATTAAGCCAGTTAGCACATTTTAAATGCATGCTCACTTGCAATCTGAATTCTGTAACCAGTTCAGGTTATGTGCTGGCTAGTTAAGCTAGAGTCATCTGAAAGGAGGGAATCTCAACTAAAAAGGTGCCTCCATACACCTGCTGTAGAGCATTTTCATAATTAGTGACTGATGGGGAGGGCCCAGCCCTTTGTGGGTAGTGCCATCCCTGGGCCGGTGGTCCTGGGGTCCACAAGAAAGCAGGGTAAGCCAGCCATGAGGAGCAAGCCAGTAAGCAGCACCCTCCACAGCCTCTGCGTCAGCTCCTGCCTGCAGGTTCCCGCCCTCGCTGCTTTTGAAGATGAACTGTTATAGGGAACTGTGAGTGAAACGAACCCTTTCCTCCTCAAGCTGCATTTGGTCATGGTGTTTCATCACAGCAGCAGTAATCTTAAAATCTTACTAAGACAGGTTGTAAACATATTTGGGGCTGGGGATGTACCTTAGTTTTAGAGCACTTGTCTAGCATGAGAGAAGACCTGGGGGTCTGTCCCTAGCACTGATAAAAATAAATAAGTGAAATATTAAAATTTTTACTCAGTGCTATGGCCAGGCATTTTGATTCTAAGCAACAACACTTGAACATCTTTTCCGTACAGGAACTGTCTGGTACCTTTCCAACAATCAAGATGTGACTCCAGCAAGAGGACTCTTATGAACCCAAGAACCAGACAGTGAGAGATTCTAACAGCTTTAATAATTTTATAAATTACACACACTGCAATTATTATTATTTGCATTCCATTCACTTAAAAAAAAAAAAAAAAACCAAGGAAAAATCAAAGACATCACTGGGTGTGGTAGTGCCATTCTGTAACCTTTGCACTCAGGAGGCTGAGGTAGGAGGACCACGAGACCTAGGCCAGAGTGAGCTACATAATGAGATTCTGTTACAGAAAGTCCACACACAGGAAGCCAAGGCCTCACTCACCTCCCTTTCCGGGCAAACTCGATTGACTTAATGGCCGTAGTATTGCTTGTCCCTGTTGTTACTCTGAAGGAGGCAACAAGATCCTGAGAGTCTGTTTTTAGGACCAAGATCTGAAGTTTACAGAACAAAAATAAAAAAGTAAATATTCTGATAACTATTAGTAATTAAATCTATCTTGTTTTTAAATTGTGCAGAAATCTAGTAAAACTCAAACATCTCTAGTCCTAGATATTCAGTCTTATTAAGTGATAATTATGTTTTATTTCTTTTAATAAACTAGAGTCGTAACCATCTACCCTGAAGACGTGATGTTTAACATTATTCTCAGCAGCCAACAAGTGGAAACAACCCCAGGGTCCACTGACAGATAAATAGGTAAAATGTGGCATATACATACAATACGCTTAAACTTTGAAGAAGAGGGAAATTCTGGCACACCAGTTTCCTTGAGGACACAATGCTGTATGAGATATACCAGTTGCAAATATGAAAATACAGTATTATTCCATTTCTATAAAGTGCTTACAGTGGTCAAATTCAAAATGACAGCTGTTAATACACATCTTAACCACAATTTTTAAAAATGGCTACAAGAAACACCTACAATGTATTACCAACCCCCAAAGTTTACACTTCCAAGGGGGGGGAGGATGAAAATCTCAGTACTACAGTTAAACTGGCCTGAATTGTATCATGTTTCTCTGTGTTAATGTGCACACATGTGCATGTTTATACTGGTGTTACACAACTAGATATTAAGACATTTTCATCAGCATGTTCTAGTTGATACTTTTTAATTATGACTCTTCATTACTAGTACTGGTCAAGAACCTTCTGTTCTTTTTCTTTTTTCTTTCTCTTAGTCTCTTGAGTTAAGCTTTGCTATGTAGTCTAAAACTAGCCTGGATCTTACTATTTAATTTAGAGTGTCCTCAAACTTGGGAGTGAACCCCCTTTCTCTGCTTCCCAAGTGCTGGAAAAATTACAAAATAAGCTGCCACACTGTCTCCATCCTTATCTAAATCAAATAATCTACTCTAATTCAAAGTACAGAAATTATTATTAAGGCATTAAAGAAAACTTAGCTATATTTCAGCTGAGAGATTATTCCAGGGATAAAAGAACCTTAAAGTAGAAGAAGTAAATATGAGTCAAGACAGACAGATGCCTAGCCTTTTTTCACTAACCTCAGACTCAGAACTTACCTTGCCTTTTGCATTTCCTGTATAAATATATTCCCCTCGCCTATCAAAAGAAGCCACCACGTTCAAATCGGAGTCATCGTCTACCGGCAGAACAACATGTTTGGAATCTGAAAGGGTCAACATGACAGGAGCAGATTTCATGGGACACACGAGAACCTTGTTCCTGTTTAAAAATATGAACACATATCGGCTGTTGCTTTGGTATCCACAGATTGAGTCCCTGTCCTTTTCCCCAGGCCCCTGACCACTTCCCTGACTGGCTCTCCCAGCTCCAGCAAATGTGAAACCACATAAAGTCTACACATCTGATAACGAGACAGACTCAAGAGTATGAGCGCCTGTCTTGACAAATAAAATGTGACCGCTAAAAATATTTAGCAAACCAGTAAGATACTAAATAAAGTAAAAACAAAATACTGATTTTTAATTATGTTAACATATATGTGTACGTGCATTGAATGTGGCCTATGCTTGAGACACATATAATGAGCATCATATTTACTGAGAATAGATTATGAGAGATCCCCAAAAGTGAGAAAACTGTGTCTGAGTAAATGGAAAACTGGGCAACCTTTCCTAGACTGTAATCTTAATAGTAAAATGTTCCCTCATACGAAAGGATTCTAAAGGCTCAAGGCCAGGGCCCACTCATTACATTATTCCCACCTTTGGTCATCTCCAAAGTTTTAATATTGATCAGTTACAATCTCCTTACAATATATTCAGTAAAACCAACCTAGGCAGAAAAATTATTTAATATGGGTTTGAAAAGGTGTTGTGTTTGCCTCTTAAACCTTAATCTGAAGTTGTCAGAGCCCAGAGTTAATCCACTGAGAGTGAGACCCCGCCCTAGAGAGTGTCTTGAACATACTGATCTCGAGGGTGGTACTGGACTTTTAAGATGGGTGAAGGGAATCGAAACCTCTGGTCGCAATCGCCTGAAAGAACATCCCACTGAGACACGATGTTATCTGTGGAAGCACTCACGAGCTTATGACCATCTCGACTCCAACTAGGGGAAAAGACAGAGGTGAACTCAGCACACAGTCTAATGTAAAGGATATACACCACTACTGTGAACAAAATGTTGACTTAATTGCACAGCTCAACATTTTTTTTTTTTTTAAAGTATAGCCAAATCTATAACAAACTTTCTCGTTACATACCTAGGCTGACCTTGAACTCAATCCTCCTGCCTCCAATTCCCAAGTGCTGGGATTATAGGTATGTGCCACCATGTCTGGCTCTTGTACTATCTTTATATATAGGAACATTACTATTTCAAAATAACACTACAATTAGCACCCACTATAACAGACTTGAGGGTCTTAGTTAAGACCCCAAGTCATCTGACCTTTGAGACCATGAAAAAGGGCTTGAGTCGGGTTTCAGGGATGAGGAACAAGTGAATTTGCTAGTCTTCCACCACAGCACCAACAACAGAGACAAACGTACTATCTCAAAATATAGTACCTGCAATCCTACATTCAGGAGGTGGGGGAAGGAGTATCATGGGTCCCAGGATAGCCTGGGCCACAGACTCAGACTATTTCAAAGGCAAAAACAATAGAAATTAAGAAATGGATAGTCATTTCTTAAATGCAGTTAAGCACAGAAGGCATTCTGTTAAACAAAGGTTGAAAGGTAGCCTGACTAGTTAAGAGACAGCAGAGCCCAATGGACGGATGACTGAAGACTAAAGTCCCTGGATCTTTCTTCCTGCCTCAATAGCCTAGACTGGGTGAAGAAGTCAGCAACTACTTACCGACAAGTTACACACAATCCTCCCCTCTGTCCCCACCCAAGAAATGCCCCAGAGAAAAACCTGCCCCCACTCTGTCCTCATTAGCAAGGTCTGGACAGACAGCTAGACTTCTACCCTGACCTCGCTCTAAGGCCTGCATGCCTCATCACGCGTGCCGTCAGAGAGCTGATGGGAAATGGCTGCATCAGTGAGATCTCACCAGCGCAGCCGGTGCCTGTGGAGGTCAAACAGAAAGAAGGCTCAGGGCCTCCCATCCTTCCCAAATAGGGGGTTGTCAGCGGAGACCTCTGAAGAGTCTCTACTGCCAACCCCAACAGCAGCCTCTGCAAAGGTGGGGAAAATGTAAGGGAAGTCTAGAACTGAAAAATACAGTAACTCAAAGCAACCAAACATTCAGTAGATCCAGCAGTCAACAGAGTGGAGGAAAAGATAAGAAACAGTAAACTGAAAGAGTAAAATCCCCAACATAGCAGAGACCTCAACAAATAATTTAATATCCATGTCACTGGAGTCATCAAAGAACAGAGTGTAGCCTTAAACTATTTGAATAGCTAAATTCCTCCAAATATAACAAAAAAAATCAATAAATAAAAACTACTGACTGAAACAGGTGAGTGAAACCAAACACTGCAAGCCAGAGAAAGCATTCCAGGGGCTGGGGACATAGCTTAGTTGGGAGGCCCTAAGCTCCAACCCTAGTACAGCCCAAAACCAGCACAGGAAGCACAATTGGACTCGGTATTTGGGAGATAAAAGGAGGGTTAGAAATTCAGGGTCATCAAGCAGGGCACTGGTTATGCACACCCTTACTCCCAGCACTTGGGAGGCGGAGGCAGGCAGATCTCTGTGAGTTCTAGGCCAGTCTGGTCTACAGAGTGAGTTTCAGGACAGGCTTCATTCAAAGCTACAAAGAAACCCTATCTCAAAAAAAAAAAAAAAAAAAACAAAAAAAAAAAAAAAAAACAAAAACAAAAAAAAAAAGAAGTTCAAGATCATCCATAACTAACTTAAGGCTAGCTTAAGCACACAAGGTCAGGGCTGCCCCAAACACTCCCACCAAGGAGATCTCTCTGCAACAGAGACCATTACAGAAACTGGAAGCCAATCAAAATGCAGGACTGGAACCCAGTCCTAACTGATCTATAACACAGCTCCTGCCCCTAAGGTTTGGGGGAGTATTGGGAAATATGGGGTAGGAAGACTTTAGAAAACAGAGGATCAGGATGTTTGCTAAGAGACTGTGTCTCCTAGGAATGTCAGAAGCTACACCTGTGAAGTTTCATCAACGTAGCTGCCTAACCCTGACTGAACAAAGACAATAGACGTGCTAACTTGAATGGGGAGAAGCTTGGAGGCCTACACCATAGACAACAAACTGCACGTAACTAAGAAAGGCTAAGAACAAAAACCTCCCTCAGAAAAAAAGCACAACAAATGGTTATCAAATGCCACATGGCCAGCCCTAAAAACATACATTCATAACATTGTATGAACCAAGCAGGTTGTATTTATATATTTAGGGATACATACATATATGTATATATGTACATACACACCAAAAATTAAAGAAAAAGAGGTCATGAATTTTAAAGAAAACAAGGAGAAAGGTAAATGGAAGGGTTTGAAGGGAGAGACAGGAAGGGGTAAATAATGTAACTATAATTATCAAAAATGTTTACTAAAATATTCCAAAACACAAACGTATGTTGAAAGCAGAAACGTCCTCAATCTTAAATCTTTAAAGTGGTAATAGGAAAATGGCACCTCATCTATAGAAAAATAGCAACATAAAGACAACGATTTCTGAAAAAAACTACAGAGGTCAGGAATCAGGCATGGTGGCACACCCCTCTAATCCCAGCACTCCTGAGATAGAGGCAGGAGGATGGAGGATTTCTCTGAGTTTAAAACCAGCCTGATCTACATAGAAAAGGGCAGGCAGGGGCTGGAGAGATAGCTCAGAGGTTAAGAGCACCAGCTGCTCTTCCAGAGGTCCTGAGTTCAATTCCCAGCAACCACATGGTGGCTCACAACCATCCATAATTCAATCTGGTTCTGGTACCCTCTTCTGCCCTGCAGGCAGAACACTGCATACACAATAAATAAATAAATAAATATTAAAAAAAAAAAAAAAAAAAAAAAGAAAAAGAAAAAGAGAAAAGGGCAGGCAGGGATATGTAGAGAGACCCTGTCTCAAAAAAACCAAGAGGCTAACTCAAGTTCTCTAGAAGGAAAGAAAAAGATAAAATGGACTCTTAGGACACTATAGGCTTGCCTTGTGCAGTTCCAATGTATGAAAAGGAAATGTGTAAGAAAATTATATTATACAAGGACAGCATCAAGGGAAAGAAGGCCAGGACTCTATACTTTATCTGAACTATTACAAAGTCAACCCTGGGGTGTTTTAGACTGTGGTTAATCAGGTGTGCAACACTGTATCTAGTAACCACTAGAAGGTACACAAAGAAACACTGTAAGTCAATCAATACAAAAGCCTAAATTTGTTCTAGTAACCCACAGAAGGCAGGAGTCAGAGAAAGGAAATATAAAAAGAACTTAAAGGAAACAAAACATATGAACCTAAACTGGGGGATGAAAAATGCTTGCTATTGAAGAACTTAGCAGCCATTGCAAAAACAGAAGCTCACAAATCAGATTTCTGCTCAAACCTAGACATCACTTAACCTTCTAGCTGTGTGATCCAGGGAAGTGTATGGTTTTTCTGGGCATCAATTCCTCATCTATGACAAAAGGACAAAGTCTTTACTTATAGAGGACTATTGAGGGAATTAGAGTAAATAAATATATATAAAGTTTTTAATTCAATGCCTGGCACATAAGGAGGGTTCAGAAAACACTTGTATCAGGGATGAGGCAATGAATTCCTAGACTCTGGGGACAAATGATGGCAGAAATAAGCTAAGGATTTAACTAAGTTCAAGTCTGCACACAGACAGACAGGGGGACCTTTCCCTCCAGTTCTACAGCACCTGCAATTAACCCTGAGCCTCCATACACATATGCATACACACACGCACGAGGCCACACACATGCAAACATACCTATACACACGCACATTTATTTATTTTTTATATATTTATTATTTTTTCTTATTTTACATATCCATCCCAGTTTCCTCTCCCTCCCTACCTCCCATGCCCCCCAACCACCCTCCCATCCCATTCCCCACCCACTCCCCAGGGAGGGTGATGCCTTCCAGGAGGGATCATGAAAATCTGTCAAGTCATTTGGAGTAGGGCCTAGGCCCTCCCTCCTGTCTCTAAGCTAAGGGAGGATCCCTCCATGGGGGAATGTGCTCCCAAACTCCTTTTGTGCACCAGGGATAACCCTGGCTCCACTGCCTGAGGTCCCTTAGACTGCCCAGGCCTTCTAACTGAGACCCACGTTTAGGGGGTCTGAGTCAGTCCAATGCTGGTTTCCCAGCTATCAGTCTGGGGGGTCCATGAGCTCCCCACACATTCACGTTTAACAAAGGAAAAAGAAACCATGGGGCTGAGGTATTTATATAACTCAGTAGTAAAGTGTTTGCCCGGAATGTATAAGATCCTAGGCTCAATCTCCAATACCACAAAATGTAAAGTAAATAAAAGTTCCTTACCACAGAGAACAGACTGGATGAATGTGCGCACTAATTATTTTAGCAATGCCTCTTGTCAAGAAATCCCAGATAACAATCCGGCCATCGTTACAGCCAACTGCAAGCAGTGTGCCCCACCGGTTAAAGGTGCACGTCAGAGCCATGCTGATGCAATCCAAAGTGCCATCAGCCTCCTACAAGACAAATGCAGAAATGTACACAGGGCTCTCTGTCATAAAAGACAATGTACACAGAAATGATCTCTGCACGTGTTCTTATACCTTTTAACTTGGTTGAAATGAACAAATAATTGTAAATGCTAAGCCAAACCTTTTGGAAACAGTGATGATCAATCTTACACAAACTCTCTGGAGGTCAATGGGCAAAGTAACTAGAACAGTTCTTTGATTACAGAAAAATGTAAAAGCTGTCACACAACCTGTGTGACTGACATTAAGAAAATTACATTATTGTATGTCAATTTCAAGCTTTAAAAAATAATTCCAACGAAGCACAGGAAACGTTACACATGGTGATAATTATTACTATGTAAATACATTCATCAAAACTTGCTAAGCACACACAAAAGTTCCTGTATAAGTGATGGAAATGTTTATTTAAGAAGTCCTTCAATAAAATTGTGAATAAGTTTTCCCTTTTTAAGAAAAACGAACCTTTCTGGGTAGTGGTGGTGCACACCTATAATACTAGCACTAAGGAGGCAGAGGTTCAAGGACAGCCTGGTCTATAGAGTGAGTTCCAAGACAGCTAGAGCTACACAGAGAAACCCTGTCTCAAAACAAAACAAAACAAAACAAAATTACTGTTGCTCAAAGCTAAACATTTCATTTTCATTTTTACCAACCATAATATAAGTATGGGTGAGTCATATTTAATTATCTGTCAGCATACAAATAAAAGGCAGTCACCATTTTTCACACGTTACAACAAAACTAAACTCACCTCTGGATAGTTCTGTCCAAAGGACTCTGCAACAAGGCAAAGAAAGAAAGTGCATGAAACATAAGCCACACACAAGGGCCCACACACCCCATGCATATTACACAGCAGTACTAGCCAAGTGGGGGGGTGGAGCTGACTCCTTTTCAGGTCTCCATGAGGTCACACTACTCATCACCAGACAGATGGCAGATGCTTTTTAAAACTCTAGTCATTTCATAAGCATACAGGAAAGTATACCGGAGCTGTGAGATCTTAACAAAGTAAGTACAGAAGCAGATGTGAATCCAACCAACTTCTCTTTAGGCAAACACTAATGAGACTGGTCAAAATGCAAGATGATGCCATCGCTCTCGCTATGTTCCTTTGTTTTCAAAGTCCAAAGCCAGGGATCCTAACTCTGAGCGTTAACACTCACCTGGTGCAGTTTAGAGGTGTCCTGGGAGGGCAGACAGACTAGAGTCAGAGTCTGAAGAGCTAAAGGCAGGAGCTGAGATGGTGGAGAAACAAGCCTAGGTGGCTAGAGTCAAGAGAGCCATCAAGGGCACAGCCCAGGGTCCTAGGATGCAGAAACCAGGAGCTGTGTGTGCTGGCAGCCGTGCCTAGAGCCGTAAGCTTCTGCTTAAGCACCCGTTTGCAGCAAGCCTCTGGCTCTGAAACCCTGGAGCCATAAGCCTCTAGTTGTCCAGCATTAGAATATAAAACTGAGTTTGGAACAGTCGGGGGGCCATTAGAATGCAGGGTCACCAACTGTCCTCCCTGTCTATCCAGGATTCCTAGCTTACAAAATCAAAGAACCCCAGCCAGTCGCTTGTAATACATTCACCTATGAAAGAAGGAAATGAAAGCAAATGCTGAAACGTATCAAGAAAAGTGTCACTGAAAATTGTTTTTGAAGTTACTAAGACAGAACACGCGCTACAGAGAAATGCGTGTCTGGGGCTGGAGGGAGCTCAGTGGCTGAAGTGTTTGCTGAGTGGGCACTGAACACTTGAGCTTGCACCACAGCACCCACCTGAAAAGGGGGCTTGCAGCAAGATGGCTCAGGGGGGCATAAAAGCACTCGCCAAGCAAGCCTGGTGACCAAGTTCAATCACTGGGACCCACAGGAGAAGGGGAAAACCAACCCCTGGAAGTTCCCTCCGATTTCCACAAGAGCAACATGGTATGCACATGTTGATACACACACACATACATACACACTCTGCACGCACGTACTCACGCATACACAAGAAAAGTGTAATCAAAAGAAAACAGCCTTCAACCACTTGGCAAAGTGAAAGCTTATGTTCATATAAACATTTGCTCAGTTTTTAAAATAAAATACTATAATATTACAATGATCCTGCTCCTTTCACTTACTAATAGAGACAGTGTTTCTTTCCCAATCAATAGAATATATTCACATGGTTGAGAAGTAAACAAAAAGGCAACTCATTTAAACATTAGACACAAAACTCACGGTCAGTGGGATGGCTCAGCAGGTAAAGGCACCGAGAGCCAAGCCTGCAGTCCTGAGTTCGATGCCCAGGACCCATAAAGTAAGAGGAGAGAACCCCCTCCCACACAGCATGTTCTTTGCTGTCGACATACACCCACACATGTATTTCTCAATATAAACAAAAAATATCATTTGGCAAGAGATGGGATTTCAGAGCCTCAAAACCCACAAAAAAGGGGAAAGGGGCGGGAAAAGGTACAGGGGAACAGGGCAGGCAGATGCCAGGCACCCTAGCCAATCATAGACCTCCGGGTTCAGTGGCAGACCCACCTGAAAACAGGAAGACACCCAACATTAGCCTCTGGCCTCTACACATACAAGCAAACATGTACCTGCACAAAATGCGCGCACACACGCACACACACACACACAATCATATAAAGAAAGGCGTTGCTATGAACACCTTTACATATCCCAGCAGTCAGGAGACAGAGCCAGGGCTGCATCTGGAAGCTATGTATGTGGGATTCAAGCCAGGGTGGGCCTCTACACATCCCACATTCTACCTAGTCAGTCCTCTTGACTCCCTACTCCACAGGCATTTGCACTTCATTATTACAGATGAAGAGAGCTAGTCATGAAGCTACAAACTGGCAAGGTTCTAACAGACCCAGAAACAGCCTGCGCCTGCAACATAACTCCCGAATTTGCCCATCAGCTGACTACTCTGTGATCTACAAAACACACTGCCTTCTCCTGAAAGTCAGGATGCACCCATCTCCTTTTCAGCACAGCTGATGCCCCATTTCCCTCCACTCCTAAGGATGATCAACAGTGACGTCGCTCACAAGCTCTTCGGGGGTCAAGAAATAAAATTCAACAATGAAACGTGAGCTAAGAGATCTACCTAGAATCTTTACCTAAAGAGAACTTTTTTTGGCAACGACCACTACTCATTTTATTCTGTTAGTTCCAAAACACCATTCGTTTGCCATAGAACCAAAGAAAAGGTAAGAGTTGAACCACCCACTTAGCCTTTGCCCCTAACTCACAAGGTCCTATATCAGAGTACTGAAAGATGACTGTTCTTAAGCAGCCCTCAAGACTTCTTTGTTCTCCATGTTTCATAAAACGGTGAAATCCTTCCTTGTCCCCTTACTCTTACAATCTTGGCTTCAGTTGCAGTAGCTTTCCTGCCTCTGTTCTTAAAAGCCTGTGCTACCCTCCACATATACACCTTCGGCTGTAGAGTCTCTTTGAGCCTGATGAGTTTGGAAGCTGAATTCAGTTATTACTGCAATCTCATAGATCTTCCTCTCCTGTAGGATCCTTGCCTCAAATGGCCGTGGAGTAGTCCAGGCTTCTCCAGCCTTCCCCTCAATCCTGTCATATGGGATAATGTCTGCATCTCTTTCAAGATTTGGCTGTCAAGGGCTTCTCTCAATAGTCCTATTTGTTTTCTAATTGCCAACAAATCCCTCCCTTTCAGAACAGTTTGAAACCATCGTAGCAGCCCATTCTGCTGCCTCTGAAAGCTGATGGCTCTGTCAAGAATCTTTCAGAGAAATCCAATTTACAGGTATGTAGACAATGGATACCACCCTACCTTTAGTCTAACACAACCACACCTGCCATATTGCCTTGGGCCGAGTCTCGCCTCCCTCCAACAATCCTTCAAATAACTTGCAAGTCTAACTTCCTCCATCCAAAACCATAAAGCAGTACTCACTCACTTAAAACCCTTCTATGCTAAACAAAATGAATAAAACGCCTTAAGTATAATTCTGAAAAGCAATGTCAGCTTGGCCCTTTTTGTCTTTGTACTATGGGCCCCTGTGCCAGAACTTACATTAACCATGCCCTGAGTACCAGCTGCAGAATACACCATTTCCTTCACATGCACACTCACGCATGCCTAGGGATGTGGAGGCAGCTCCACAGAAAGCTCCTGCTCCATCTTTTTTGTTGGTTGATTGGTTTAGCATCTCCATCTCAGTATTTTCAGTTGAACAGGACCTCTATAAAATTCCCCAAATTTTACATTAATCCCACCCACAGTGTAGAACCAGCTGCTTTCATGTGGAACCCTCACAGTGTACTAAGACACTGCAACTGTCTTACACAGAGTTACTTGTTTCTCTTTTCCTGGATGATTTTATCCAGAATAAAAGCAGTCATCTTATTCTGTTTTCAGCTGGTATAATTCAACCCACACCCATAACAAGTAAATCATCACAGTCTATTTAGTGCAGAGAATATCAGAGGATATTAAGCAAAAGGATTAAGTGAAATTTTAAAATTCTAGGGCTCAATGGTTAAAAGCTGAGGCCTGGAATTCAGATCCCAGCACCCACATGGTCCAGCAGGACCCTCACATGCTTGTAACTCCAGCTGAAGGGGGCAGAGACAGGAGAGGGTTTGCTGGTTACCAGCTGAAAACATGAACTCAGGTTTATAGAAAGGACAGAGAATGACAGAAGAAGTTTGCATGACTCCACTGTACACATGACTTCTCTGGCCTGAGTGCACAAACAGGCATACATCACACAGACACATCCATGTCAAAAATATTCCAATTACACATATACATAGGGGTTGTGAAAGTTTATTTCTTGGGCCAGTGAGACAGTTAAGGGCATGAGTTAGAACCCCAGCAGAACTCCCCACATGGCGAAAGGAGAGAGAGGACTGCCCAAAGTAGACCTCTGATCTGCCTGGGAGTTGATGCTGCACACACTAAATAAGTTTAAAATTAACTTTTAAAACAAAACATTTCTTAATGAGTTATAGAAAAAAAAAAACGAGCTTTAAAAACTATCCTGAGCTAGTGATGTAGCACTTGCCTAGGTGTGCGTGCCCTGGGGAGAGGCTGTCTTAGTGATTTGCATCTATAGCATAGAACACTTGTTACACAGCAACATCTCAAAAAGAGGTGGGCTGGTCACAGAAGTAAAATTAGTAAGTATCCTATCTAGGAACCATCTGAGTGGCCACACTCCACAATCTACTATTCTTCCTTCATTTCCTTTATCTGACCAGATGTCCTTTATAGTGTTCCCATAATAACACTCCGGTTCCTTTTCCTGCTTAGATACAATCATTAACTTTCTCACTTTAACACTCAGTCATTTCTACAGAGATTTTTTTATCTTTTGGAGACCCAGACCTCTCTTAATTGTTGGATAAGCCAAAGCTAAATATTCCTAAGTTCCCCCCTTACGAATCTTCTCTATCATTCAAAAGAACTTTCCCCATGACACTGCTAACTCTTTCCCTCTTATAAATAAGGATCATCTCTTGGTCTCTACTTCACCCACACCTTCCTAAGATCCCTCTAATCTACCTTCATCTTAGACTGTTACAGAGTACAAGTTGCCCAGGGGTGAAAAGGAACAGCCTTTTATCGGTTTTCAGCCCCAAATTGCTCTGCAATTTGTTTCTATGGGAGGGAAGTACTAACCTGTATCATCTTCTAGCTGCTGTACATAGGGAAATACATGGGAGGCACCTGAAAATATGCCTAACTCAGGGAAGCGTTGCATATGTTAAATAAGTTATAATCATTTGCTCATCCCTTTCCCTCCAAATACAGGGAAGTAACCAAAGATCTTGTCCCTGGCAGTATTCTTTCCTGCCCCTCACATCCTTTCCCTTCCACTTATTCACAGGGTTTCAATAAAGCGAAATGATGATAAGTCAAAACTTGTCTCCCAAGCTCTCAGTCTATATTCAACACATCCAAGCTACCTTTCAGATGCCCTTATATCTTATCAATAACAACATTATTTTTAAGTCATCTTCTAATCACCACTATACTCAAATTCTGCCAACACTGCCTCCTCAATGTTTTTTCTCTCCATGTCCCAGCTCACACATTCCTTATCACTCATGCTTTGTGGCCCTCCAAACTGATTTTATATTGTTTCAACTACATATTTTTGTCAAATAAATTTTACAAATCAGTACTCCAACTGAGTTGTCAATGCAGCCGCCCCACCTTCCTTAAAAAGCAAACTGTCCAGCCAGGTGTCCATGAGTCTCCACAAAATAGCACCAACCTATACTTTTGATCATCTCTTTATCACACTATACACACTTTGGTCAAGCAGAAAGTCTCTCACTGGGGGGAGGGGGGCTGGAGAAATGGTTCATCGGTTAAGAGCGGCCGCTCTCCAGTGAACCTAGGTTTGATTTCCAGCACCCACAAGGTAGCTCATAACCATCTGTAATTCCAGTTTCAGGGGCTCTCTCTTCTGGCCTCTGTGGGCACCAGACACCCCACCGGTGCACAGACATACATTCAGACAAAACACCCAGACACATAAAATAATAAATTAATAAAATGTCCCTCACTTATGTCTTATCTCAGACACATCTTCCACATATTTTCATGCTTAGTCTGTCAGTATTATATCCATGTGCATGCATGCACGCTCCAAAAAGCTAAAGACAAAGAACACTATTAAAATCTGTCCATCCATCCAAGGCAGCCAAGTCATGCAGGTCTTGAAAACAGACGTCAACAGTTTGCCACGCTAAAATACCACCTCATAGAGAAGGCCATAAGAAAATACCAATGTGGATAAGGGGTTGGGAGGCAATGACTTAAAGACATAGTGAGAATTTAAAAAACTGCCTGTGTAGTTCACACTTCAGTGATCTACAATCCCCTACGGTTAAGGACCTTAAACTAGAAGTCAAGATAACCGGATTCCAAGTGCCAACTACGTCACTTAGTGCCCGGCCACAACACTCTTAACCTTGTTTTATAAAATCTGGCTAAATAACCCACTTCCAGTATGACCCACTCTATCTAGGTGCCCGATCCCCTGACAGATCTTCACAGTCTCCCCCTAGTTCACTCCGACTCCGATTGCATCTCCAAAAAAAAGAAAAAAAAAAAAAAAACTCTGGTCCTGCTGGCGCATTTCCTTCGGCACCTGCGATCCCCGAAATCACAGCTCATTCAAAAAGTGCGCCTAGGACTCCGCGGCGGATCTGAAAGCGGCGTCGGGGAGCTAATGCATTCCTCTCGGACAGAAGCTGGTCTCCTCCTGCGGCTGCAACTCCACACCGCGAGCACCCACTCAATGGTGTGAGACGGTGTCCCTGAGCTTGCAGCCTGCGCTTCCTCCCGCCCGGGTCCCCTCCTTCCCAGCACCAAAGGCCCGCCTCACCCAGCAACTCGAGGTTCATCCCTGCGGACGCTGGCCGCCTGGTCTCCGCGCCGGCAACAGTTCCTTCTCCCCCACCCGCTCAGGAGCGCCGCGTCCAAGTGGGGGGCGCCGCGAAGAGCCAGGCGCCAGCTCCGGAGACTTTCCGACTTAGAAGGCCCCGCGGCTTCCGCTTTCCTCCCCCGCCTTCCTTGTTCGTTTTACGTAGCTGTCCACGTTTATCCCCAATTAAAAATAAAAATAAAAGATTAAAGGCTCTTGGAACCAGCAAATTATAATAGTTTTGAGATATTAAAATGTTGTCGTCGGTCAGAACTCCAAAAAAAAAAAAATGCAAGGATGTAAGGCTTTTCTCTCCGGGACCTAATGTAGGTGAGCGGAACGCTTCAGGCATATCTCTAACCCACTAACGCTTACTGCGCCGTGCGTTCCTGGAGTTGCTCCGGCGGCTGCCTGTGACTGCGCAAGAAAGGTTCCGGGTGATTCCTCCGAAGGCAGGAGAGCGGGAAAGCTCGGCCCCTAGTGCCCGAGTGCTGGAGCTGTTTGGCGTTGTCAGAGCGCGGGCTGGCTTAGGTCAGTCACCCTGTGTGTGCGGTAGCTACCTTGTGTCTGACTTGATTTCGTGAAGATTGTTCCATGTCTCTAAACGTATGACATACACCATGGAAAAGAGTGCGATGGCATTGTTAGGCCTTTTCCTACGGTTTTACTGGGTACAGCGTGTGGATTAGCGCTCAGGAAAAGAACGGTCAAGGGAGATGGACTGAGTTCCCCAGCTGTCAGACTTGACGTACACGGAGCAATCAGAGAAGACCAGCTGATGGTAAATGATGGGCGTGGGGTAGGGAGTGTTTATCCTTCTGTAGACGTGGTGGGCATTCACACACACACACACACACACACACACACACACACACACACACGGAGACAAGCTAGGTTCCCTTACGTAGATATTATGGCAGTAATCTTGAGGTCCTCCTGACTCTCCCGTGCCACTGTTTCCCTGTGAGTAAAATGGATAACAATACTACTACTTACAGGACTGTGAGGATTGAATCGGTTAGCATACAAGCGCCTGAAATAGCAAGCAGGTGACAGCAAATATTAACCAGCATTCACCAATTACCTTGTCCTAAATACTTCACTTCCCTGTAGCCATTGAACCCAATAACAGTACTTGAGGCTCAGAGATATTAGACAATTTTCAGTCCTTTGCATATCCAATTTCCCCCAAAATTCTACCCAAATACTATAGTGCCAGGAATAGTCTATCGAAGTCTTTCTGCACTTCTCACAATGACTTATTATCAAGTCTCTTCAGCTATACCCACTGGATAAGTGAAAAGAAAATCATTGTTTAACTTGTTTAGTAATAGTGATGAACTTTTCATATGTATACATTTTTTTAATTTTTCTCTTCTGTGGGTCAATTGTTTGGTATCCCTTGCCAATTGTTTTAATGAAACAAACATTTTTATAAAAAAAAATTCCAAAGAAGGAATAATATGATCAAATTGATGTTTAAGAAATAAACCTCCTATCTAGTCTTGAAGCACATACATATAACATCAACACTCGGGAGCCTGGGCTATATAATGATCCTGGTGTGAGAGGGAAGAAAGAAATACGTTTTAAAGGGTTGTTTTGTTTGTGTGTGTATGTGTGGTTTTTTCTGTTTGTTTTGTTTTCTTTAGTCTGGTGCTGGTGACTGAACCTAGAGCCTTACCTTACAGGCCCTATCCATAAGCCTAGCCCTAACAATAAACCTCTTAAGAACACTGATCAATAAGGATTCACTTGAGGGGTGGAAACTCTCCACAAGTTTACTGCAGTGATCCTGAATCAAATCTATAGTAGAGGAGGAAAACAAGCAATGAGTTGGGAGAAATTAGGAGACAGAATCAGAGACAGCAGAACAGGAAAGGTTTTTTTTTTTTTTTGGGGGGGGGGGGGGGGGGGAGATGTCATGGAGGTAATATGCCTGACACTCTACTTTGGGGGACTCCATTTGTTAGTGCAAAGGACACAGAAAAAAAGAAACAGCTTGGACAAGATAGATGGAAGAGCTCAGTTTCAGATACATTGGGTTTAAGAAGGTCAGAGACCATAAAAACAGAAGGCCAGGCTACAGATGTGCTGTATTTTGTCGATATTTTAATACACATAGTTTTGTATTTTAAAGTCTCTAAATTAGGGACATAGCATATGTGTAATTAGCAGTGTTTTTTTTTTTTTTTGGTTGTTTGATTCATAGTATGCTATACATTGTATGTCTTATAATTCATTGTATTCTACTATAATTGGCAGGCTTTGCTTTGTGAGGATTAGTTACAGCTTATTAATACAGGGCATCTGAATTTGTGCGCTGAAGGGGCCTGGAGCAATTTGCACCTGTCATTGTGACTGAAAAAAAGAACTCGGTTCTTAGACTGAACTTTATTTTATGTCCTCCATGCATTAGGCCAGTTAGGATTTATCTTTCTTCCAGATAAAAATCAGAAATTCTGGGCTGAAAATAGTCAGTGGTAGGGCACTTGCCCTAGCCTGTGTGAAGTTTTGGGTTTGATCCTGAAACACCATGGGGGGAGATAGGGGTTGGGAGATCTCTTCCTGGAATAATTGTGCTTCACAGTCAACCAAGAAACCCTCTGGGCAGTGGGCTTAGATAACATGAGTATTTGCAAGCTCCTACGAGATTCCAGCATGCGGACAAGGTTGAGAACTACATCAGAGGGCTGGGGATGGTACCAAAATACTTACTGATACAGGAATTAAAGCCATCCTCAGAAAAAGTGTGCCCAATAAATGCCGTCCGTGTTTATTGTCAGTAGAATTAGAGTCAATGTAGTTAAAGAGAGGAAACCTCTAGTCCTAGCACTCAGGAAGCAGAGGTAGGCAGATCTCTGTGAGTTCAAGGCCAGCCTGGTCTACAGAGTGAGAGCCAGGAGAGGCTCCAAAACTACACAGAGAAACCCTGCCTTGGAAAGAGATTGATTGGTTGGGGAGGGATGGACAAGGACAGTTACAACACAGCTCTGAATTAGAGGGGTAGAGAGAAGAAAATTGAGAATGGAAGAAAAGTATATAGGTATAGATGCCATTCACTTGAAGACACATGGCCAACACGCACGCACGCACGCACGCATGCATGCACGGTTATTTCTTGCGGTAGTATCTGTAGTTGCTATATAATTGAAACAGTTCTTTTTTTTTGCAAAGCAGGGAGCTGGAACTTTTCGTTCTTATTCATTCTGCAGAAGATATGTCGAGATTATTTCAAAAATCTGTTATCTTTTTTAGCATTTTATGTTTATCTGTAGACCAAAGCCAATCTCTTTGTAGGAAATCCCCAGGAGTTTGTTGTGATCACAGATTACACATGAAATGACCAACAGTAATTCGGTTTATCAACCATTGCTTCCTTCAATACTATTTATGCTTTGTAACTCCATTGAATTGCTGAAAACATGTTTTACAATTCCTAATAAAGAATATATTATAGATGGGCGCTGAAACTATTTACCAGTAAGAAACCCTCATCCCTCACATTATTTTAAAAATAATGTGTCATTATTTTTTTTAAATATTTTTAAAAAATAAATGTGTCATTCAGAAGTGACAGTGAAAGCATAAAAATAAAATGACTGCAAACCCTGCCTTCCATTAGGTGACGCCGTTGACGCCTGAACCCCAACACCCAGGAGGCCAATAAAGGATGGCTGTGAGTCAAAAGCTAGCCTAGGATACACAGTGGGTTTGAGGCCAGCCTGGGCTACAATGTGAGACACACCCCTCCCCTTTGGGGATGAGACTGTATCTCAGCATAGAGCCCTCGACTACCAAGAATGCATGAGATCCCGGGTTCAAGCCCTAGCACTACAAAAACAAAAACTCCATTCACCTTTGTGACAGGAAGCTTTAGAAATATAGTGGAAAATGTTGTGGTTTTTTTCTGTGATATTATATACTTGCAAACTTAATTTATTCAGAAAAAAAGAACTACTAGCCATAGCAAATGTTGAAGCTTTTAAAGACAGCCCAAGGGCAGGCATGGTGCATGCTTTAATCCCAGCATCCGGGTGGCTGAAGCAGGAGGACCTGAAGTTCAGGGCCAACCTGAGTCATGCAAGATGCTGTCTCAAAGAAAAGATAATAAGCTTAAAGAGAAGTCAGGGAGGGAGAGGAGAGGGGAGGAAGAAGGGAGGAAGAGGGAAGGAGATGACCGTGGTAGAATGGAGAGGAGAGACAAAATACATCAGAAAGGGAAAGGGAAGGTAGATGCAAGTTTTTCATGTGCTAAGATTTTCCGTGTCTAGCTTTCCCAAGCATTACCCTATTCTTGCAGCTGCTTGATCTTTGGGACGTTTCATCATCTTGAACCATTCATATTGCTTTGCTTTCTTGCTGGGAACCAACTAGACAATTACAATCAGAATTCCAGGTAGCAAGAGTAGGCACTAAGTTTATCCTCTCCTCTACCGCTGGATTAATTTTTCTCTCTTGAATATCGTTCCCTTAATATGACTTCAACTACCAAAAACAAAACAAAACAAAACCAAACCCCCACCCCACCAGAGTCTCCTGGGCCTTTCCCTTCTGCCCTGATGCCCACCTCTCCCTCCAGACTGAGAAGGGAGCACACCTGTGCATCTCAGCTGCCCTGGGTGCTCACCTTGCTTTGTTAGCTGCCCCTTGGATGCCAACCTTGAGGACCCCAGACCTTGGCAGGGTCTGTGAACCGTGTATTAGACTGTGTTCTTTCTGTCTCTGTCACGCTGCTGTGAACAGCGTGTAGTTTTCATCATAGCAGGGAACCAAGTCCCGTCACAACTGCCAAGATGTAGCTGCCGTCATCTCTGCTTACATCACATCCAGCTCCTTGTCTGTGGGGTGGTCTTGGGTGGTCTCCTTTCTGGAATGGGCGGAGGGTTTTAGAAGCCATTCTCACGGTTTCATCTGTCGGGAACCAGCTGCCTTGGAGATATGGAAGTGCAGCAGTAGCTTGCGTGTGTGGGGGAAGGGGTCCCATGGGAGTGGGGGCCATGCAGCCTGCTGACACTGACATTGTTTGTCCTCAGAGTCCCTGTCCTTGCTCTTATCTGCTCAGCTGGGCTGACTCATACACGGCTGCTAAGCCCTGGGTTTTTTTTTTTTTTTTTTTTTTTTTAACCTTCTTCAGTGTCCCTGATGTCAGCACTTTAACCCTTTTTAATTCATTCCTTTTTAATATTAACATTTGTTTTCACTGCAACAAACCCCACGGCTCTGTGCATGCCAGACATAGTGCTCAAACACACAGGCACACGCACGCATGCACACACGCACACACACGTAGAAGGGTCCCACTGTAACGATGCCACCACGAGAGCCACACTGCACAAGAAAGGAGGGCACAGAGGCTGAAATCTGTGTCAAAGTCACCTTTTGTTACTGCACTTTATTCTACACACTTAGTATGTTACACTTTTATATAATACTGTAATAAACATTAGTCCTTTAAAACAATAAAAACATTACATAAAGACACAAAATAAAAAACCAGCAAACCATCCGGACTAAGTTTATTGTCAACCTCTGGGCTAACTGGGGTCCCCACGTCAGGGTTCCCAGTCTCCACCACGATGTCAATCACACTTGGTTCTAACAAACCAGATGAAGTTAACATAAAACTTTTAAGAGCACCTGTACCACTTGAAACTTCTAGGGGAGTTTGCAGTACCGGTGTCTTAAGGCCACTCTACTATCACAGTAGTGCTACCTCACATAACCCAACACTTAGAAGACTAAACCCTCATTTTCTTTTAAGGAAAATGTGGACTTTTTGACCTAGCACATGCAAAGTGCAAGTCCTGAACTCTTAAAGCAGCTCCTCCTTTGGAATGCACTTTCCAAGGCTGTTAATCCACCCTGACTGATGCAACACGGGCTTGGGAGGTCTCCCTGTAAGCTACATAAAACAAGCAGGGCATCTCTCCAGAGCAAGACCAGAGGGTGCCTCAGTTTCCCTAAGTGTGACTGTACTGACCCATCTCCTGGGCCTCTCAGTGCTAAATAAGACAACAACGACAAAAATAAAGTGTCATTTAGTGCAGTTGTCACTTTACAGCCCCAGTACCCCAGGCCACTTTTGTCAGGAAGAACATTCTCCAACCCCTTTGACCTTTGTGTTGTGTTTTGTTTTGTTTTGTTTTGTTTTGGTATTAGACCCTGAACCCCAGGCCATGTGCACACTGAGCACATTCTACCACTTAACTCCACATACCCTGAGTGCTCTAACCTATCGATGACAGCTCAAGCGAAAATACAAAATGCACTTGGGGAACGGAGCAGTGTTCCGAGTTCACCATTCTCCGGCTCCAGCTGTGTAGAAAGGAGTCCTTTCCTTGGTTTCCTTACGCTTTAGTGTTAATGTTTTGACCCAGTGGCTGCCTAGCCCTGCCCTTACAGTGGATGGAGTCAGAAGTGACTCTCTTTGGTCTAGGAACAATCAGGGCAGTCCTTTTTTGCAGGCAGAAAGACTACTCAGTCACGAAGCCACTCAGCTGTGCTGCTGCTGGCTCAAGGGCACCGGTGAGCCACGCAAGGGCCAGACTGCCAGCATTGCTTCTGATTGCTCTGCACGAGGGCCTGTCACTCATTCCAAAGCAAATGGGTAAGCAGACTTTCCGCTCCTAAGCAGCAGCCAGCTGGTCACTTCCGGGCTGGAGTAACTGCCCTTATGGAAGCTTCTTTGAAGGATGGCACGTGGTAAAGTAGCTCTCTATGCCCCCCTTCTTCTCCCCACGCCCTGTACTTCCTTAGTGCCAGCACACTTCTCTGAGGACCTAGTGTCTTCCCAAGTGACATTCAATACAGTACATCTCATGGCATTTTATCTCTGAAATAATAACAGATGCCAAAAAACAAAGAATCCAAAATTAGCTTACAATGTTATAAAGTAAAATACATACAAATTAGACACACATGTTCGCACACTCAGCCTGCTGAGCACTGAAATACCACCACCAAATACCCCCATGTGGCCTCTGACTGGCCCGGACATTTCCAGGAATATCTTGGACTTTTTCAGATACTTTTTAATGAATGAACTACCAAACTACTCTTTATATTCTCTCCCTCCTACTGGTCAGGAAAATGGATGGAATCTTCTTTTTAAAAATTAAAGATTGAAAAAAATGAACCTATAATCTGGCAGAAGACTGAAAATGGACTCTGGATGGGAAAAAAAAGTCTAAACTCCCACTTATGAGTCTGAGGATGAGCTCAGATATGCTAAGAAAGTTAGTAATGTGGTTTCCATACTGGACCTACAGCCTCTGTATTACAGTTAGAGTTCAAGAACAAGGGTCATCTTTTAAGTTTCACACACACAGACCTAAATAGTAGAGATGACTCATTTCTTCTTTCTTGACACCTGGCTTCCTGTACATTCTACTGTCTCCAGAGGACAGCAAGTTAATGGCTCTGAGCAGAGTAACTAAGTATAGTTGAGTAGATGTTAAAATTCTAAGAACTAAACTAAGCATTCTACCAAAATGGGGCCAAAGATACTGGGCCCTTGTCTGGTACAATTTGCGTGTAGAGCACTGTGTGGAATTCTTAAGAGCTAGAGTATTTAGGAGACCATTATGCCCGACTGCATCCTCTTCAGAGCTCACTATGCCCAATATCAAATGTGAACTTTGAAAGCTCTGTGAAGCTGGAGTGTGGCGCACAGGAGAGCACCCACCAGCAGTTCTGAGGATGTGGGACTGACCCCTAGCACTGAAGAAAGAAATAAAAGAGTGAGTTCCATAGTTAAAAGCTGGACATGGGAGCACATGCCTGTAATTTCAGCACTTTGGAGGCTAGGCAGAAGGAAGGGATTTTAAGGCCAGCCTGGGCTACATCCCATTAAAACAACAACAAAATGGTAGTCTATTTCTGTCTGATCAGATGAAGTCCAAGTACCATGCTATCTGGAGGATTCCCTCCTTTTTAAGGGAAAACAAGGGTAGGAGGTAGGGAAAGACCCTGAATCAAACAAATTTTGTTCTGGGTTAGCCCTGCCCTGCAGAAACCAGGGCTCCTTGGGCTCCCTGGAAATGTAAACACTGGGTTGTGAGGGCACACAGCCTCACACCCAGCTGTCTCCTGGGGCTTCTGACTACAGAGAATAAGAACCCGGCAGCCACAAGGTATATTTGGCTGGGTCGGTTTGCTCTTTGCCCTTGCAGTCACATGAACTGAACTTAGGCTATGTGCTCTAAGTGGCCTCTACCATTGGACAGAACTGAGCTGCCCCAGCCGGAGCCATGAGCATGACTGACAGTTTTCTACCCTGCACTGCAGTGCCCCACTTGCTTTAGAAACACATACAGTGAACACACAGCGGAACAGTTGCCTCCTTCTCAGTTGAGTCCAGAACATGACATTCTTCAGCTTCTGCACATCTGAGACAACCATTTGCTAAAGAGATAGTGTGAGGCAGTACAAACACTAAAACAGCCACTGAATTCTTCACTGTCCAGGAGCCATCTCTCCCAGGAAGGTCTGGAGTTGCAAACAAGCACCAATTCCCTTGGGAGCTCCATTAATGAACAAATGACAAATTCTCCCCATGGCCAAAAGGTAAGAGGGAAAGAAGGAACAGAGTGAAAGAGAAAGGTTTTGTCTTCAAGTAGAATCATCTAGTCCTCTGTTTGGTCGCTCAGAATTGCACTTGCAAAGCCGGTCCATAATGCCTTGGAGCATAGGCTGGACGATGCCCAGGAGAGGCCTCTTAGAGGGGTCACCATCCCAACAGGCTTCCATCAACTGCCAGCACTCCTCATCAAACACAGGAAGACGCTCTGGGCGGGTCCCTAGAGGGGAGCAAGGAGATACAGCCAATCAAGGAAGCCGGGAGAGCGAAGAACGTGGGTTTCCACTGCAGACAGCTAGATTGCAACCCAACAGGAATGGTGAAAAGCAACGCACTGGCTTAGAAAACCCAACACTAAAAGTCGTAGCAAAAGCCGTTTTTGAGGTAATCAATATAGTGCTGTCCAGTAGCAGAGGGACGTTTACAGCATCCCTTTGCGCCCTGTCATGGTCACGCAGGGGCCAGAGCACAAGTGTCCCCTGCTGTGGTGTCCGCTGTCTGCTCTCAGTGAGGGAGTAGAGCAAAGCAGCTTGGTGGCTCTTACCTCTGCGCACATTGTTCCAGAGATGGTCTTTGCTAGCACACCTCTCAAACGCCTCGGGGAGCTTGATAGAGCCTGAGCAGATATACCAGAAAAGGATCCCAAAGGCGTAGACATCCACAGAATTATCATACTTCCCTACAGGAAAGAGACGAGCAACAGTGAGCCCCACCTTGCCTCTACAGGTCCTTACACAGTTTCAAAGCGCTCACTCCTCACAGCTTGCCTGGTGAGCAAGGCACATTTATAATGCTCATTTACAATACAGAAACCTAGATGCTAAGACAGAAAGATGAGAATTTGTCAAAAGAGAATGAAAATCATTTTAATGGGACAGTCAGCAAGATCAATTCTAAAAGGCCATATAAGAGAATTACAGAAAGGAACCAGAAAATAAAGATTATAAAAACAAGACAAGCAGGTGTGATGCACACCTGTAATTCCAGCACTCAAAGGACTGAGACCAGAGGATTATTTGAAGGCAGTCTAGGATACACAGGAAGACCTCATCTCTCATAGAAGACTATAAGGACAGAGAGGAGTCTAGAGTTAATGGTCATTGCTTTTTTAGAGCAGGGATACAAAAGAACATTTTATAATAGCCATTCTGACAGCAACAGGGTAGACACAATAAAAGGAGTTTAAGAAGAAGCTGGCAAGGCGGGATAACAGCATCAGGACCAGAGCGAAGTAAAGCTAAGAGAGAAGTCTATTATTTGCTTCCAGTGAGGGTCAGACTACAGCTGTTTACTAATTCCCAACCCTCTGTACATCACCCAGGGAGGAGCCAGGTGACAACCTCCATGAAACGAATGAAATCTGGGGGCTGGAGAGAGAGCTCAGTTTAAAGCACTTGGCGCTCTTGCAGAGGCCCAGGCTTTGACTCCTAGCATCCACATGACTCACAGACACTGCAATTCTACCTCCCGGGGATTCAAACAACCTCTTTTGACCTCCTTGAGCACCCAGACATACTCATGGCACACATACATACATGCAGGCAAAATATTCATGTATGTAAAATAAATCTTTAAGAAAAGAAACTGGAATGCATTGCTGATTCCCCCTATAGATACTAGCGAGTGACCTGTGATTTCTTTCCCATCCTCCTTGGGACAATGCCATCATTCTCCATCCACTACGGCTCAGAGTTTCATGCCAGCCACCCTTTTCTATTTTAGCACTCACATCCGGCAGTAAAAAGCTTCCCCGTTGTCCTCTGAATTTACCTCAAATCTGTAACTCTGTTCATTTCCACACCAGTACCAACCTAACCATGGACATGAATCTTTGCCTAACTGGTCATCTCACACTGACTCTTCTTCCTAGCAACCCTTCTACCCATGGTTGTGAAGTTGGTCCAGGCATATGTTCTCTGCCATCCTCCCCTGCTCAAAAGCTCAGCCCCTCCTAAGGTACTTGCACAAGACCCTAACCTCCCCAAGGTTCTCAGTCTTTGGACTTCTCTGGCCTTGTCTGTCACTGATTTGCCAGGTGGATTTCCTTCCTATCATGAATATTTCCCTTCTTCAACCTCCAGTTGTTTCTGTCCTCGGGACGACTTGCAGACAGAAAGGCCTCGATTCAAATCACACTTCACTGCCTTCTACCTCGGTGTTTTGGGGGGTCAGTTACTTCATCAATCCAGTCTGAATCTATGAGTCTGACATAAAAATATCCCAACATCATCACAGGCTTGCTGAAACGATTAAGAGAAACAAGGTCTCCAGAAACATACCTGCTCTGCCTACTGCAAAGTGTACACTTAAACCCGAGTTCCCTTCCCACTGCCGATTTTTCCAGAGAGGACTCAAATGTTACCCCAAATCTCATAAAACCATTCAGCAGTCTAACCTTACGTTGTTCTTTCACTCTGGATCAACAGAACATCGTAGCACCTATAATTTAGCATTTAATGCTGCCTTACACTGCTTCCAAATTATTTTACCTCTCAGTATATCTCTATGTTGGTGATAAGTTCCTTAATGACAGGTTCCATCATTTAGAAGGTATTCAACCAATACTTGATGACTAAATAAGTGCTAAGTGTGGCAATTATAGCACGAATAGCCCAGAGACACACCCACAAGAGTACTTGGTAACTCCCATTGACCTCTCCTTCTCCCTTCTTTGCCTCTTTACTCTTCCTCTGTTCTGGGCTCTTCATGGCCTGTGTCACACCTGCAAGCAGTGCTTACACACACTACTTACCCCAAGGGGAATCACCCCTAGTCAGAGTACCGAGGTCTGTCTGAACCCACTCTTTGCCCTCTAGTTTTACCTGTGAAAAGCTCAGGGGCCATATGGATGGGGGTCCCAACAATGCTTCCTGACATCATCGCTTCTGGCTTGCAGAATCCTAAGTCAGTGATCTTGGCACGGTTTTGTTTATCCAGCTGCCAAAAATAAAAGTCGGTATCACCTTGTGTCCACACACCCAGCCTCACGGCAGTCCTGAGTTAAGTCCTTCCTTCCTCCAGCCTCACTCTCTCAAGCTTGTTCCTATCACCATTCTCTTTCCCACTGTGAGCAACCTGGTGGCAGGGACTGTTTCTTTCATCTTTATATCTCTGTGTCCCTGGGACACACTGGGACCACTATAATCTTGGAAGAATGAGTAATGACGGTATAAAATGAGGAAAACATGTTGGCACCTGATTTTCCTCTTTGTCAGCTGAAGCGATCCTCTGACACAGGGCTGGGTAGAGCTCTATGGCAAAGACCTGAACAAGCACGCACAGACCCTAGCTCTACCCCAGCACAGCAGAAAGAACAATGACAAAAAACAAATAAGCAAAAATGGATTCTAGAGAATAAACGTGTCTCATGTGGTTACTGACTGCCTCTTAGATTTCTAGGCTGTCTTTCTCTCCCCTAAAGTACAACTCATTGGGCCTTACCATGTGGGAATGGAAGGTATTTCCCCTAAATTATGACATGTTATTTATTTACTTAGTGTGTGTACAGATCAGAGGACAAGTTGTAGGAGTCTGTTTTCTCCTCCTGTGTAAGCAGGTATCACAGCTTGTTGAGTCATCACAATGGATGTTTTCAAGGAGTCGTCAGAAGATTCTTTATGGCTTAAGCAATGTGACCTTTCAGGTGCACTGTGCATGTTGACGCTCATCTAGCATCTCTGATCAAGCCCTACACATTAACAAAGGCCTGGACCCCTCAAAAATACCAATGACATAAAGGCAAAAAAGAGCAAAGACTATTCTAGATTGAAGAAGGCTGAAATAGCATGGTAACAAGATATACTGTGGCATCTTTGGATTAGATCCTAGATTGAAAGAAAACCAAACAACAAACAGACCGTATTTGCAGCAATTGGATATAATGGAGACAATAACAGATCAATGTTAGATTTCTTGAGTGTGGTTTTTAATTATGTAGAAGATTCTTCTTTCTTAGGAGAGACACACCCACATATTTTGGAGTGAAGTATTATCAGCAACTTACCTTCACATGGTATAGAAAGGTAAAGAGAAAATACGACAGTGAGTGCGTACCCTGGCAGGAACACAGGATACAAGGTTATCTGGGTTTCCATTATGCCACTTTTAACTTTTCTATGAAACTGAAATTTCTCAATAGTGGAGGGAAAAGTATTTGACACAGGTAGTCTGTTGAAACTGCTCCTTAAGCTTACGCTCAGGACCCCCTCCACCCACCATGATATTAACACTCCTGCATTCCATATAGACTTTTCCACAGACCCTCCACAGAGGCAGGGATCCTCTCTGACTAGAGCTGTTACTTACCAGCACGTTTTTCAGTTTGATATCCCTATGGACAAGCCCCTGGCTGTGCAGAAACCGGATTCCCTCCACCACATCCAGGGCTATCTGCAAACGTGTCTCCAGAGTCAGCCCAGCCTGGGAAAGGAGGCAAAGGAGCCTAGATGTCAGAAGAGCCCAACTCCATAACCCAACTGAGACTTCCAATTGTGAGCAACTAAATGAGTTCCGGTGGCATAAAAGGGCAAAGCTGTGATGGCAGGTGCAGGGAAGACGACGCTGTACAGGACACAAAGCAAAGTACGCCCCCTGCAGGCTGCAGTTGGTCAGCAGGACCACACCCAGATTGGCACAGAAGAGGCTGGAACTAACAGCATCTCACAGCATCTCGCTCCCAGCGTCAGAGTGACTCTGTCACTGCCGCACAGAAGATTTGCTCTCACAGGATTGGTTAGCCCAGGTTTGATTTTTATGGGTTCCAATTCCAACGTCACGATGATTATTTTAACTTAGAGTCTTTGGGATCCTGAAAACTGTCCTATTAATTTTCTCCAATCCTCAAATGAACATTCTAGCTTGTTTACAGAAAAACTTCAGGGGCTCCTGAGATAGGGAGGGAACTGCTTGGAGTCTCTTCATCTCGCCAATTTCTTGTGACTCCTGAAAATACTAAGTTCCCTCCTTACTTCTCAAAGTCCCCATGTGAGCTCACACAGGGTCCACACGCTCTGAGGTCAGCTTCTCTCTCTATCTACTCGGCTCCATGTAGGGGACAGACAAGAACCTGATTCCCTTACCAGTGACTTTTTAGATGAGAGTTTAAACTCAGCATTCACCTGAGAGTTTCACCGTTACTCGGCAGCACACCCCAATTTATTTTTTAAAAATCAAGGTCACATAACAAGATCTTACAAGTGATTTTGTGGTTGCCCCCACCCCACATCTGTCTCACTGACTACAATGGTCTTAAATATGTCTGGAAATTACATATTTTGCTATTATCTGATGGTGCTTAACAGACAGCCTTGCACAAAACAGTCATTAACAAAAACTTGTTCACATGACAAAAACTGGCTTTACCCGGAAGAGTAACAAGAAGCTATTCTACTCTTCTAAAGAATCTACATTTTCGTCACTCCACAGGACATCAGAGGCATCTGGATCTCCTGTGAGTTAGAGGCCAGCCCAATCTACATAGCAGACTTCCAGGGCAGCCAGTACTACATAGTGAGATCCTGTCTCAAAAAAACAAGCAAGCAAATGAAAACAATTTTTTAAAGCAGCGAATAAGAGCATTACAGAAATATACTGCAACAACAACAACATCAAAAAAAAAAAAAAGGGATTCTGAGAAATGTCTGACATTGTTCTGCAGTAAAGCCAGATTGCTCCATCAATTTCTATGAGAGTGAGAAGTTGGGAATAAACAGGAAAGAATGAAGTCCAGGAAGGAAGGGCTGAGCCTGGCTGCCTCACTCACCTTCAGCCCTGTGTAGAGGTCCCGGTGCAGCCGCTCCATAATAAGCAAAACAGCAATGCTGGAGCCTCCACCATAGTTGTAATCAATGACCGAACCGTGAAGATCCACCAACCGCTCGTGCTTTGGCAAAGACCTGTGAGAGAGAGAAAGGTTTGGGCCATCACACTCCGCCTCTAATTCTGCATGAGATAGATACCAGGACGTAGAGAGAAAGGACCGCCCAGCTACATTTAGTCCAAGTGCAGCCAGAGGGAAAAGAGAACTACTTCTTCACCAAGGTTAAAAACCATCCTGACAGTCTTAGTGGCTACGGAAGATAACAGAGTGAAGAGTTGAGAAATTATGATGGGAAAAGACTGAGCAAAGACAGCATGTGTGGCCTAAATCTACAAACACGAGTTAGGACATTTTGAAATCTAGGTATATAGAGACCAGACATGCTGTAGCCCGTGTACAGAAGCCAGAGAGACTGACTAATGAAACCAAGACCTACCTCATGTAGTGAAACTCCAATGCCAGGTCATTCCAGTGCTTCTCGTCTGGAGGAACAACTGACTTGAGGGCACAAGGGAAGTGTCCCCCCCAGTTGTCACACAGGTACACCACACCATACTGGCCCCGGCCTAACTCCTGTCCTAATTTAGGTTTGCCTATAAGATAAAAAGACAGCAATAAAGCAGAATGACTTTCTCTTTAAGATTCTTAGATGCAATCCTGCCTGGAGGCCAGAAGTTGTTGTGAGCCTAGCCTTTAACGGCTGAGCCATCTCTCCAGCCCGAGGCCAGAAGTTGTAATCATGCAATGGGAAGAAACTCAAGTGTTGTTCTAACTCAGTAGAAAGTAACTGAGCTGGATCATTTTGAATAAACTTTGATCTTGTTATTCATATGACAGAAGCAGCAGAACCGTGCAGGAATTCAGGAGTATCACAAAGTGCTGAGGCAGCTTTGCCGAGATTCTTGGGAGGCAGGCAAGAGAATGCTAGAAGACCCTGCATTTCCTCCAATTTACTTGGAAAGAAACAAGGACTCACCATGAAGCAAGACATCCTGTAAAGACCGGCTCTCTAGTGAAAGGCGGGCCAGACGAGGGGCATGATCTTTTCGAACCTTTAGCCACAGATCTTCAGTTTTCTCCAGCCGGCCAGAGTGGCCAGCTTCCAGCTAGGAGGGAAACAGAAGAAAACATAAGAATCAAGTCCCTCACCTCAGCTTTTCCACCTGATACGCAGAAATAATAGCATCTCTTTCACGCTAACAATTGTGTATATGACATGCTTAATACAATGACAGTGAATAGTCAAAAGTCATTATCCTCTTGGATGCATAATAACATCTATTCATCTCTCTCTCTCCTGAGGGAGCACATAATTGCAATGTAAGAAAGTCATTCCTCTGTCATTCTTTATGTTTGTTTGTTTGTTTTTGTTTTTTGGGTTTTTTTGTTTGGTTGGTTGGATGGTTGGTTTTTCGAGACAGGGTTTCTCTGTATTGCTTTGGAGCCTGTCCTGGAACTAGCTCTTGTAGACCAGGCTGGTCTCAAACTCACAGAGATTTGCCTGCCTCTGCCTCCCGAGTGCTGGGATTAAAGGCATGTACCACCACCATCAGGCTTTCCTCTGTCATTCTTAAAATATGATATAAACTTACATAAAGTATACTTATATATAAACTTACATACTCATATCTAAACTTACGTACTTGTATATAAACTTATATAAAGTCCTCTATGTTCTTTTTTCATTCAGTTATATGGGAAGAAATCAACTGTACTCACTCTACCGTTCCAAGAGTTATAAAAAGGTCCACATGCTTCCCTGTGGAGTGGGAGGGAATGGGATGAGAGGGAGGTGGGGGGTATGGGAGGGAGGAAGAGGGAACTGGGATCGATACGTAAAACAAGAAAAATAATTTTAAAAAAAGAAGAAAAAAGACCCCCATGAAAAATTTGGTGATGAACCTTCCTATAACATATTATTCTTTAATAGAATAAACTGATTTTTTTTAAAGTATAAGGACAGCAGAAAGCAAACTATTTCCCTCTAAATGAGGCTCTTTTCTGCTTATTGCAGCTCCCTCCCCTCTCCTGCATACCAACCTGCCTCAAGGAGGCTGCAAAAGCCTCATGGGAACTATTGAGCCGAGTACGGAACTGGCTGCAAATGCTCTTGGCCAACTTGGAGGCGCTGAGGCTCTCGATGGCTTCCTGGGCCACCTTCCTCTTCCAGTCTAGAGTGATGGTGGGTGGGCTCACCCATGTGATACGCTGAATGATCTGCCAAAATGAGGGCAGAAAAATCACTGAAGGTAGAAGGAGGAACCCCAGGCAGCTCCCACAATGCCCTTCCTTCACTAGGTTCTTACTCATCAGGAACAGCTAGCTCTTAATGTAGGAACCTATGAAGTCCAACATCCTATCTAACCCTGTCTATCTCAAAACCAGGGATTAAATGCATGTGCCATCATAACCAACTCAATGTCTAGATTTTTGTTGTTTGTTTACTCCTTTGGTACCGGGGAATCAAACCTATGACCTTGCTTATGTCAGGCAAATCATCTACCACCATGCTATATCCCCAGACCCAACAACACCTACTTCTGAGGAAACATTTAGGCTGAATAAAGGAAAGATGAAGAAACTTATAAGGTGGAGTTTTGTGGCTTCCTCAAGTATTACATAAATCTATGGCTCCTTACGGGTTAAAGGGAACATTGGTAGCCATTAATTGAGAACAGGCATACAACAGAATTCTCTCAGAGAGGCAAATCAGAACAATGGCCACCCTACTTTAACGGCATATTCTAAGACTCTGTTCTGCTGGAAAGTCTAAGATGTAAGTGAGCCCAGCATGGATTGAAATGACTTCTCTGAGGGACACTCACCTGCTTGATTTGTTCCCAAAGCATCCTTGTAACTGAGGACCCTGAGTGAAACGTGACTTCCACATGGTAGGCGGCATTTAAGATCTGAAAGAGAGCACGTGAAGGGGCATATGCAGACAGTCATTTCTGAAGGACGTCAAGAGCAAGTCCAAGCTGGCTGTGCTGCTATACGCCTTTAATCCCTGTACATGGGAGGGAGAGGGAGGCGGGTCTCTCTCAGGACACCCTGCTCTACGTAGTAAGTTCTCAGCCCGGCCGGTCTACAGAGTGAGAGGCCATGTCTCACACATAAAGAAACAAAGAGCATAGTGGAGCCAGACTCAGCACGTGTCTGTAATCCCAGTACTTGGGAGGTGGAGGGAGGAGAATGAGGAGGTCAAGACTAGCCCTGACCAAAACAGCAAGTTCAAGGCCAGGCAATCTTGGCTACATGTGCCCCACTCCTACCTTCTGCCTGCTCCCCACACGCACAAATTACACTCCAGTCTGAAGGCTCGAAAATCTAACCCTCAGCATATATAGAGTCAACTCAGGTTCATCACCCCTATTTTGTGACTAATTAGGTTCTTTTACTTTCTATTTATTTTTATCAACTATAATTTTACAACTTATCAGCACCTCTCCTAGGCAGTAGTCATGTAGTAGGAAAACAAAATGAAGGGAAATCCTTGGCTAATTTGAGATTGGGCTTGTGTGTGAATTATTCTAGATGTTATCTGTAACACAGTATCTTAGCAACCATTCTTTTCATACCTGTTTGAGATAATTGCTGGTAATGTGAACTGAGACATCCTGTGATTTTTCAAGGCTCTGCAGACACCGTTCCAGGGTCCCGACAAAGCTTTCCCGTAGGTAATCCACTGAGCTGATCAGCTTGTTGGCCACCGCCTGGTTGAGCCTGGAGATGATAAGCTCTTGGATCTGTCGGATGCAGCATTTGATCTCTCTGGTGCCCACCGTTTCTCCATTCTCAGGGATAATGACATCTACAGAGGTAGAGACTACACTAGTTAGCAATGATGGAAAGGCACAGCCACAGTAAATACAGGCATCTCCCAAGTCATCACCAGTGAACTACCATGATGGCGGCTACGAAAAGATACGGTTGGTTGTCAAATTCTGATTCTTAGTGTGATCAGAGCCAGGCAGTGCTCAGCCACTTACATTAAATAAGTAAGATCCTGAAAATGAGCAGTCATGTCTAAAACGAGTCAGACTTAACAGCTTTCGGTTTCAGGACAGGAAGAACAGCATTCATTCTGTGGAAACTATTTGAAGGGCACAATAATAAGCACTATATACAGGTACTCTAACTTCACCTTCACAGCACCTTCGTGTAGATAATAATGGATATACTCTGTACATCAGGAAATAGCCTCAGGAACAAGGCAAAGTGGGCAGAGAGAGAGAAGTGCAGTCAGGAAGGAATACAGCCAGAATCTGAGCACAATCCTCACTTGGTCCAAATCTCGGACCTTTCTTAAATTTCATGCTGCTTGGCATATTAATCAGACAGACACTGATACCACCTGTGCAGGTGCAGGTATCAAACTTTAAACCAACCAACAATGACAACTGTTTACATTCTCTAAATAGCCATGCTTCTGGAAATTTTTTCTCTAGAACTCTGTCCTCACAAATCTCAGATTGCGTGTACAATGCTGTTAATTCAGTCATTTGTAATAGCAAAAAAAAAAAAAAAAAAGTCTAGATAGTTATCAATAGGCTGAAAATGCTACAAGATATTTTCATTAGAAGACAGACTTAAATGAGCATTTCCAGAAAGCTCTCTGAGATATATATTAGAAGCAGAAGGGAAATGCAAAAGTACCTAACCCTGAATTAAACATCATATATATGCATTTATCTTATTAGGGGGAATACAGCTTTATGGTATATTCCCTAGCATGCATGAGCCCTAGGCTCAATTCCCACTACTATAAAACAAGGAAAAAAAAATTTCATATAAGTCCCTACATAGCCCAGGCTGACCTCACACTTACGATTCTTCTGCCTCTGCCTCCTGAGAGCTGGGAGTACAGGCATATGCCACCATACCTAGATTAAAACATAAATATTTTCTAAAGTATGTGCATCCTGTTACCCAGCATACATGCATGACCTTTATTTAAAGACATATAGCAATAGAAGTCTGGTTCTACCAGATTGTGTGCAACCTGTCTTTTAAATCAATGTATTATTGCTTCAAAGGCACTCAGAAAGGACTCAGAACAAAACAAGATCAGATATTAAATTGCACCTAATGTGTAGCTTTTTAAGTATGTGGATCCACAGACCTAAATGCAGAGTCAGACATTTGATTGCCTGCTCCAATTATTCCCATATCTGTTTAAGCTAAATGCTGTATAGAAGGCGCCAAACTTGGTATGCCTGCTGCAATCCAATCCAACACCACACTGTCACCTAAGCCTGCTGCCCCGGCCTGCTGCCACCACACGGGTAAGACACAGCACTGACGCTCCAGAGCGCTTAGAGAATGTGCAGGGGACTCCTCGGGGCTGCCCCTGAGATGAACATGTCTCAGCCGCTAAGGAACGACATCCCTATTCATTTCTACTGAGAAAGGAGAAGGGAAGACGGGAAGAAAGAAGGACATTCTTTGTTTTTTTGCTGCAAGATAATGAATAACCCCGAGTTCATATTCAACTCTGGCATTTCAGGACACAGAAGCGTACACTACAAGGAAGTAAAACATGACAGAAGTTACAGGTGAAATGTCACGGGCATAAATGAGCACAGCTGACAGAACACGACAGAACTAATGACTTCACAAAAAGTGGCATCTGAAGGGTAGGTAGGGTTTGGGAAAATTCACAGAAAAATAAAAGACACTTCAGATTTGATGTCGGGCACAAGCAAAGAAAGGTCTAGGGAGTGTATGGAGGACAGCAAGCAGTTAATACCAACGCAGTTAAAACCACAGGAAAGTGAAGAACGGAAAACGAGGTTGGCATGGTTGACAGAGGCTTTGGAATCTCTCAGGCTAGACTGAGGTACTCAGTACTAGTCTGTGGAACAGTGAGCCAGCTAATAAAGATGAAGTAGAAAGAAAGAAGCAAGCTAGGAGCCTGACTAGGTAAAAATACTTCAGACAGATTAAAGAAGACAGAATAGAACCAGCGGTGATTTGAATGCCAATATCCCAACATTTAATGAGGCTGAGGCAAGAGGATTGTAAGTTCAAAACCAGCTCAGGCTACACAGTGAAATTCTGTCTCTAAAAATATACAGAAAAGCAAAGCATGCATAGATATAAAATTGCAAGGGACTCATAGGTCCTTGGCAACTGGTTAAAGGAAAGAATGCAGGAGAAAACACAGTACAGGGTATGCCGAGGCTCTGAAGCTGGATACAATAAAAAAGGGGGGTGGGCTGGGAGCAGTTTAAGCCACAGGTTCTCAATCTTTCTAATGCTACAACCCTTTAATACAGTTCCTCAAGTTGTGGTGACCTCCAACTATAAAATTATTTCACTTCTACTTCATAACTGTAATTTGCTACTGTTATGAATCATAATGTAAATACCTGATATGCAGGATATCTGATATGTGACCCCTGTGAAAGGGTTATTCAACCCCCAAAGAGGTCACGATCCACACATTGAGAACAGCTGGTTGAAGCAGTAAAGCACTGAACTATAAACTGTGTGTCCAAGGACGGGGTGTGGTGGTGTATTCCTTAAATCCCAGGAAGCTAAGGCAGGGGGATCTTTGTGAGTTTGAGGTCAACCTTGTCTACATAGTGAGTACCAGGACATCCAGGGCTATACAGTGAGACCATGTTAATACACACAAACATACACACGCACACACACACACTCATGCACACACACTTATGCACTCAAGAATTGAACTGTCTCGGCTCATAGTCTGCCTCTATTATTTACTAGTTGTAGGACCTTTGGCAAAGTTGCGTGCCCCTTTAAACTTTTTGTCCCTCATCTAAACAATGAAAATAAGCAGCATCTATCTATGGAAGGCTCTGTCAAATGCTAAGGTGGCCTTTCATGGTTTTAGCACTCTGAGATGTTGTGCATGTACTCATTACTGTAAACCTAACAAGTAACTGAACACAGTGTCATCTTAACCCACTGTGCAGCAGAGCGAATGCTCAAGCATGGACACTTGTCAGCATAAAAGTCAGACCCCCCAAAGCCCTGACTGGTGGCTTTGCCCAGTTTTGTTGATAGTCATCCGTGATGAATGGGAGACTGACAGAAAAGCCAAACACGCTTTCCCGAGTTGGGCTTCAGGGGCAGCCTGAGCAGAAAATAGATCGCGGGACAAAAGGTAGCGCAGTGAAGGGGTTGGGCCACGCTGGCAGAGCAGAGGAGAAATACAGCACTGTAAATGCTGCCCGCAGCTCTTCTCGGGAGTACAGGGATGCAGACAGAGGTGGGGACTGGAGGGTGCTGAGACAGACGAACTTAGGGACAGCCAAGACTGGAGAATGCTGAGGATGAACTTAGGGACAGCCAAGACTGGAGGGTGCTGAGGATGAACTTAGGGACAGCCAAGACTGGAGAATGCTAAGGATGAACTTAGGGACAGCTAAGACTGGAGGGTGCTGAGGATGAACTTAGGGACAGCTAAGACTGGAGAATGCTGAGGATGAACTTAGGGACAGCTAAGACTGGAGAATGCTGAGGATGAACTTAGGGACAGCTAAGACTGGAGAATGCTGAGGATGAACTTAGGGACAGCTAAGACTGGAGGGTGCTGAGGATGAACTTAGGGACAGCTAAGACTGGAGGGTGCTGAGGATGAACTTAGGGACAGCTAAGACTGGAGGGTGCTGAGGATGAACTTAGGGACAGCTAAGACTGGAGGGTGCTGAGGATGAACTTAGGGACAGCTAAGACTGGAGAATGCTGAGGATGAACTTAGGGGCAGCCAAGCTCATGGCTTGGGAAGGGATGAAAGTGAATCTAAGTCCATGACAGCAAGAGAGAGGCCACCTCGTGTAAAGGGTTAAGGTGCTGTGGTAGTCTGAGTGCAGTAGGGGGAAGCACTAGAGGAGGTATGACCCTGCTGGAGTAGGCTTGACCTCCCTGGGTGGAGGAAGTGTGTCACTGTTGGGGCCCAGGCTTGAGATCTGCTATGCTCAAGCTATGCCCAGTGTGGACACTGACTTCGGATCAAAATGCAGAACTCTCAGCTCCTCCTCCAACACCACGTCTGCCCTTGTGCCACTGTGTCCCACCATGATGACAATGGACTAAACCTTTGAAACTGTAAGCCAGCCCCAACTCACTGTTTTCCTTATAAGAGTTGCCATGGTCGAGGTGTCTCTTCACAGCGATAGAAATGCTAACTATAATGAGAGCGCCCTCCTGCTGGACCTTAAGAATCAGGGTATTCAGCTTCTAGCCCAAAGAATCAGAGGCCTCCGCAGTCCCAGCACCCCACTAAGCTCTAGAACCTACCTTTAAACTCCATGTTGGCAGCATCATCCAGAAGTTCCTCTTTCATGGTGTTAAGAGTCTCAACAATCATATCCTTCATTTCCTCCTGCTTCCGGTTGGCAATGTTCATCAATGACTCGTACAGTTCATTCTCCTTTCTTCTAGTATATTCCAGGCGTTTGGGAGTGATCTGCAGGTCCCGCTGCATATCAAAAGCCTGGTTTATGAAAATGTCAAGGCTTCGGCAGTGGAGCACGTTCAGGGCCTTGGCTGCGTCCACCAGGCGGGTCTGTAGCAGCTGCTGAGAAAATGCACTCAGCTGCCTCAGTTTCTCGCCTTGCTGCACCAACATGCTCTGAGCTCTGCTGTCCTGCTCAGGGGCTACGCAGCTCCTGTGACTGCCACTCAGATAGCCCAGGTCCATTAGCTGTCGATACAGAGGTGATCTTTCACTCTCTGCTCTCTCACAGGAGGAGTCCATGATCTCCAGCGTGGGTGCTTTGAAAAAGAACACGGGAAAGGAGAAATACTTCCTGATTTCCTGAAGCTCTTGTTCATCCCTCTCAGACAGCTCATCTTTGCGAAGTGCATAGGTTATCACAGGCAAGGAGTCATTCGCCAAGTCACCCAGAACATGTACGGCAGGCTGGTGGCTGTGGCATGGAGCCACCACAACGTCCACTTCCTAGAAGGAGAAGGGGTCACATCAGCACTGAGACCAAAATCCAGACGAATAATGGAGCAATTGTTCTTCAGGGTACCCCAGTCACTTGCCAACCTCCTTCCTTGGTCCCAAATACCCCCTCCTGTGACCTACGAAGGCAATTATTCATCTAGATAGTGAAAAACTAAAGAGGAAAGAGGGCAGTCCTTCCAGCAATTTCAGATGAAAAGAGTAGCTAGTCCCTGCCTTCCTTTGATTCCCCATGAAAAAGAGACAAATGGTATAAGAAAAATGAATTCTTAGGGCAACTACCAGACAGGAAGTAATCCTACAGTCTCCCTCTAGTCTTGCTCTCACACCTCTATCCCCACCTGCTAGCCTGGCTAACCCCAGCAGCCTTTAACAACTATCAGTGTGTAAAGCATGTCACAGCTTACAGTCTTTCCTGTTACAGGGACCCTGGCACTCTATTTCTCCTTATCCACATTCAACACACTCACGGTTAACTTATGTAAAACCCATCTTGTTGAGACAGAGGTGTGGCACACCACCTGGGGCACACAGTGAGTTCCAGGCCACCCTGGGCTGGAACCCAGGGAAACCCTATCTTAAAGGGGAGGAGGGAGAAAGGGGAAAGAGAAATGAAAACGAAAACTGATGAGAAGAGAGGGAAGAGGAGGGGAAGAAATGGAAGGGGGAGGGAAAGGAAGACGTGGGAAGGGAAGAGATTCTGTTCCCTGTGAGCCTATAAATCCTTTAAAGGCAGAGGCCATATTTACTTACTATTGGAATGCCAATGTCTAGCATAAGTAAATCCACAATATAATTAGTTGTCAAACCAAGAGATCATTCTGCAAACTGACAGCCAAGGTCACCAAACATTTCTATCATATTCCAAGACTCCTCAGACCTCTCAAAGGCTCAGTCAAGTTACACTGTGGTTTTACTGTTGGGGAGGGGGCTCACTGGGTAAGAGCACTTGCTGCACACGCATGAAGACCTGAGTTCCAATCCCAGGAATGGCCACGTGAGCCCCCTGGTTCAGTGAACTTCAAGTTCAATGAGAGACACAGCCTGGTCTACAGAATGAGTTCCAAGACAACCAGGACCATACAAAGAAACCCTGTCTCAGAAACCAACCCCTACCACACACACACACACACACACACACACACACACACACACACACACACACACACACACACACACAGAGCAAGACCAAACAAAACACACACATAAAAACTTAAACCTATTTTCAGGTAAGTCACATGATACTTTAGTCTCTTGAACTCCAAGAAATCTAAGAGCCTTTTAGCATCTCCTCATTTGTAATTTGAGCAAACTACATAAACCCAAACCCAGGTCAAGAGGAATCTGCTGTTTCATCTCTGCCTTAAATTGCAGGGAGTGTTTTCTAGGTGGAAAACACGCCTGGCTCTCATCTTGCTGTCCAGAACAACCCTTTTTACTACCCTGACTTACACATGCTGGAATGTGAGCCGTTACTTCGGGGAAGCTGGCACGTAACTAATTTCAAGGTTTAGATTAGAATACACAATTGCATAAATACCAGCAGCAAAGTCACATTAATGGTAAGAAGACTAACGAGAATCCTAAGGAGCAGAGAAAGAGAAAGGTGTTTGTTCGATGGGGTCAGAAGACTTTTCCGGAGTTGGTTCCTTCTTCGGTATTGTGAAGCAGGACCTCTAGCTCCTGCTACTGGTCCACTCAGCCCTCCGGTCACTGCTGCCCATCTCACCAGAGGAGTGCAGGGATCCCAAGGGCTTGCTGGCGCATCAGGCACTATCATGCTTTCCTTATGCCGTGCTGAAGACTGAACCCAGGGAACTTGAGGGAATTCATAGCTGGTACCGAAAACCTAATCAAAAGCCCAAGGCTGGGAGGTCATAAGTCATAGGAGGGCAACACCCACTGCTGCCTTGCTAACTGACCATGTTGTTAAACTGCTGACCTCAGCCTCAGCCAGACAAGCTTCTGTCTGTAGTGGTCGGCAATTAACTAACAACTCATAACTGCTCAGAATGCTGAGATGATGTGACTGGGCCCTACCCAGGACCCCTATATAAACCCCACATGCATTAAGGCTTAGGGAACATTGTGGAAAAGAAGGTAGGAAGAATGTAAGAGTCAGAGGACAGGGAGGGGAGCCGAGAGCCTTCTAGAAGACATGGCCAGAGCACTCGTGAACTCACTGAAACTTTAGTTAACTGCATGAGCTAAGTCAACTAGACCAGTCAGCATTCCAACAGTCAACACTAGCTGGACTACACGGGTTACAAGAAAGTGGGGGTGGGGTGGGGCACGTGAAGAGATGGGGGAGGTTAGGGAGAGAGGGGAAGAGTCAACGATAAAAATGATGAAGATGCACTGAATAAGTAAAAGATGTATTTCATCAAATTAATTTTTTAAAATAATTTTATATGGTTAAAATTTAAAAAATAACACTTCAGGTTTTCCTCAAAGGACCATGTTGTGCATAAGAAAACCATCAACCAAAACTGCCAAGTCCATACATAAGATCAACACTCACCTTTTAAGAGAACAGAAAGAGCCCAGTGGTGGGCGCACACCTTTAATCCCAGCACTCAGAAAGCAGAGGCAGGTGGATCTCTGTGAGTTCGAGGCCAGCTTGGTTGTAGACCAAGGACAGCCAGGGCTACACAGAGAAACTCTGTCTGGAAAAGGAAAGAGAGAGGAGGGGGGAGGGAGAGAAGAAAGGGGGGAGGGAGAGAGACAGAGACAGAGACAGTTGACTTCGTTTACTCATAGGTACAAATTCATGATTACTGATTAAGGGCTTTGGGGGGGGCAGTGTCTGTGCCTCAAATTGCAGGGATTGGGTTCTGATTGGGAAACTTGTTTGACACTTCATTGTTGTTCAAAACAACCCCTGCTGTGCCCTGACTTATTGTGCGGACAGTGAGCAACCTTAGGGAAGGAAGCACCTTCTAGGCTCAGTGCACATACATTTCCTGGGCTCACTTTCACCCCTTGCTACACAGCCCTGGCTAGCCTGGACCTTGGCCCCAAACTTGTGTCAATCCTCCTGCCTCACATCTAAAGTGCTTGACTACAGGCATGGACACCTGGCAGATTAAGGGCGTTGTAATGATACCCTGGCACTTCTGAGAAAGGCTGTATACTCCTAACCTCTGCGTGGCTGTTTTGTAGCACAAAGTAGACTTAAACTTTTTAATCTTCCTGTTTCAACCTCCACAGCACAGGAAGAACCACTATGCCTGGCTATTTGTAAATGCATGATGCAATAAACAAAACTGGACGGAGAGCAGAAACAGTGTCCCCGCCCTCCGTTCACTGTCAGCTGGTCTCCACGGTCTCCCAGGGTCTCCCACGGGTCTCCACGGTCTCCCAGGGTCTCCCAGGGTCTCCCACGGTCTCCACGGTCTCCCAAGGTCTCCACGGTGTCCCACGGTCTCCACGGTGTCCCTACAGCCTCACACTCGAGCAGCAGTCAAATCAACCCAGACTACAGTGCGATTTGTGACCCTGTAATAAGGCTATGGCGAGGGGATGACTCATATTTTGTGGGGATAAACAAAGGAAAGCCAGTACTGCCTTCTTGAGGCACAGAGTAGAAAATAATAATTACTACTGAGTGGATGACCAGAGCTGTCCTAAGCCCATCATAGCCACCTGAGACAGGAAGTCTGACCTCAACTGTCTAGTTCAGGAAGGATTTACACCTCCCTACCACCCAGAACAGTGCCTGTAACTTGGACAGTACACACTAAGAAACTGTGGGTTAACTGATGAAGAAACGATGCTCTTATTAATTCAGGTCACACCACACACACTTATCTGAACTGGCTGTTTTCCCACCTTCTGGGTCACATCTCGCTTTTATCTGACACTGCTGTTTGAAGCAATAAGTAAGCATTTTGCTCCTGGGGCAGGGGGGACCGGGGGGGGACCTCGGGGAATCATGACCGAATCCTTCGAGGTCATCTGAATTACACCAATTCTTCCGGCAAGGTTAAGAGAGTGTGTAAGGAGAGAGACGAGGACTGGGGAGTGAAGGGAAGGGAGGCTGTAGTCGGGGTGTATTGTATAAGAGGAGGAGTTTCTTAAAAAGGAAAAGCTTTTAAAGAAAGAGAACGTAAAAGGAAGTGCTTGCTACTCTCAGACCAGCAGAATAACAGCTCTTTGGTTTTGTTTTCCGTATGAAGTGGCAAGTGCCAATCGTCCATCGTGCAATCATTGAAGAAGCTGACTGCTCCCTAAGGATATTTCTCGTATTGGCGGGGACTGTGTAGCACACAGCACACTGCTAAGTTCAGCTACATAAAGGATGGTGTCCTGGCTGGATTTGTCTTGTCTTGTTTTTGTCAACCTGACACAGCTAGAGTTGTGTGAGGAGAGACGAGCCTGTGGGGTATTTTCATAATTAGTTATGGATGTGAGGTGGCCCAGGCCACTGTGGGTGGCACCACTCCTGAGCAGGTGGCGTAAAGCAGTCTGGGAAAGCCATGAGACCAAGCCAGGAAGCGCCAACCCTCCAAGGCCCCTTCGGTTCCTGACTCCAGGTTCTACCTCGAGTTCCTGCCCTGACTTCCCTCAGTGATGGAGAATGACCTGAGAGCTATAAGCTGAAATTAACCCTTTCCTCTCTGGGGTACTTTTGGTCATGGTGTTTACCACAGCAGTAGAGCCCTAAGTAAGAGAGGTAGTTGTCCTAACTGTAACTCAAACAGCTGTTTGGGCTGACGTTGGGAACTGGCAAGTGCCTTGGCTTTCTCCACATCCTCAGGTAAGACCACGTGAAAAGCAGCATACACTAATCCAGTAATAGCCCTGCTCCTGCAAAGCCGCTTACACAGTACAGCGTTTGCCCTACCCACCTCATCCATTATTCAGAGTTTTGGGAAGGGCTAGAGAGGTCCACACTCTGCTGTCCTCCACAGGCAGGTCTTTGAGGTCTCTCTGTCACTAAGAGAGCTCCACCCATCTCTGCCTGTAGTTTTCCTCCGAAGCCCCTTTCA